TCAGGGCTGCGTATTAAGCGGCCGCATCCCCAGCATGGCCGGCTTCGCTCGGACTAGGGCTGCCCATTGGCTTTGATCAGTTCAGAGTTGCTCAGGGCGGGTCTTGGGTTTGTGTTGGGTTCATTTAGGCTTGGTAAAGGGCTGATATCCAGGATGCTGTTGGGAGGGTTTGAGGTTGACTTTGAGTCGGTTTGGGTTGGCTTGGACCTGATCTGCGCAAGGTTGGCGGCCTGGTTATTGCAGTAGCTTTCGGGCTGCTTCAGGGCGTAGTTATGCAATTCTTGGTCTGGTTTGGGATTGGTTGTGGGGTCGCACACCCTCGCGCAAAGGGAAATCCCAGTATCCCCCCCCACCCCCTTAAAGTGATCCCAACCCTAACCCAGCCGGATATTCAGAAAGTGAGCGAGCCATGTGGAACGCACAGCTCCCATGACATGAGAAAAGCTAGGTCCCCCAGCTAGGTGCCCTTTTACCCTTTTTTGGGAGAGGGTTCCCCTACTCTGAAATCGACTACAGAAAAAAGGGTACCCTTATTCTAACTTCTCTACTGGAGGAGCTAGAAACGGTTGGGGACTGTGCGTGCTCTCGGCCGAAAGATGTTATGACAGACGATCCAGCAGCATTGCGCCTCAAGCCAGGGACACGTATCACTCTTCAGCCGGAAATCTGTTTCATTCAACTAACTAAGAAACTCAGCATGTTGGCAAGGCGCATGTTTTAGTGTCACTATGATTATGCTTCGGCCCTTGCTGGCTAGGCTAGGAGAACAGGAAGCCACAGACATGTTCGTCAAATTGTCCACTTGCAGCTTCATGACTGTTTGTAGGGAGAACTAGAAACATGGAATTGGGGGACCCCCCCGCCCCGTCTAAATTCGGGGGATGCCCTGATAGACAACTCCCGCCTGTTCCTCGCAGTGTTTTCTTCATGCACCCTGGGCACATATTTCCTCTGAGCTGCTGCAAAGCGCGGGTCTTTTCAGAGGTGCTAGGCATTTTGTCATTGCTTGCAAGGTTGTTGCCTCGGTTGTCAACAGCAAAACAAATTGTTCACAGGATTTTCCCACTTTCCTTGTCCATGATCAATGGCAGTCCCGACGGGATCACCTCCATGACCAGGTGAGACCAGGAACAAATGGGGACGAACATGGGTGTTTGTCCTGAACTTCAACAAGCAGCTGGCAGCTGACAAAACCTTCCCTGATTGGGACGTGTCTCAAAACCTGGAACTTGTCAATTTTCATCCAGGACCTTTACATCAGAATTCGGTGGGGATTCATGTCCAACCACCTGTGCTTGGCGGGTCCAACTTTTTAAGGACATCGCCACTTGGCTAAGAGGAAGCCTCTCAGCGGCGCTGTCTAGGCCCATTACAATAATGACCCAAGAAAACGCAATTTGGATTTGGATGACATTCTTGAACGGTAAAGTACGGTAGTTATATTAACCCAACCATTGTGTTGATCCTGAATGAACGGTAAAGAATGGTGGTTATATTTTACCCAACCATGATTTTCCTTGTCGCTGAATTTGAGGGCATGGTTGAACCATACTGGTTGGTTGGCATTTGAGCCACAATCAAAACTCGGGTAGATGAAGGTTAGTACGGGACAGTCCCAGCCGGAAATCGTTGCGGCCGCCTTTCTAATTCTTGAAGCATAGTTCTGGGATTACGACCATTTTTGCACCAGGCTTTGATTGTGACTCATTTGCGTGGGTTTTCGGAGAATCGGATGGGGAAACGGAAGCCCATCCTCTGAGGCGCAGGAGCTGGGCGGCTGTTTGAACGGCTTCTTCGGGGCTCTCATCGACATCATCACTCGCCCTTCGGCCGAAAGCCTTTGGCCTGGCCAACCCGTGCAGATAGGTTCAGATAGGCGTGCTTGCTTTCTTTTAAGGTGCCCCACCAAATTTTAGTGCCGCACCCAATTTTAGGGTGCCCCCAACTTCAGACCGTTGTGTTTGTTTCTTATTTCAGGGTGCCCCGCTTTTGGGATGGGTTTTAAAGGAACACCAAAGGACACCAGCCGTTTTGGAGGTTCCGGAACCCCGAAAGCGAGACAACCACTTGGATGTACAGCGCATGTACAGAGACCCTGGAATGTTCGCACTTCATTGAGTGACGCTTTGCTCCAGGGATGGAGACCCCATTCTGTTCAGCCCTTTTTGTATCTCGCAAAAACACAACTTCTTCCCTGGTGTTTGTTTATTTTACAAAAGAATCCTCCTCTTGTTTTTCCCCTTCTTTTTTCTTCTTCGTTTTTTTCGGACACAATCAGCCCTGGAACCAATGGGGACATGGTTGCTGCAAATTGGGTTTTACGGCCATTTTCTGTGATACCGCCAAGGGGATCTCACTGATGGCTAAGTAGTCACAGGGGATGGGAATCCCACTTTGTTAGCACCTAGGTCCCCCAGTAGTGCCCTTGTACCCTTCTTTGGGGGAGGGTTCCCCTACTAAAATAGACGGCACCCTTATTCTAACCTCTCTACTGGAGGACCTAGGCAGTCCTATTTCGATTGTGTCCAGGAAGTCTTGGTGTTTGGGCACTTGGCCAATTTCCAGTAGAACACCCTGTACTCACGTCTTGGTGGACTTGAGGCCTCAAACAAAAGTAGTCCCTTTGAACCTAAAAGAGTTCAACCCCAGGTCCCTTATCAAGGGCATTTCCAGGCATGGGTTTATGCTTTAACAACATAAGCTCGTAACGCAGCAAGTACCATTCTATAAGTGGTATATATATAACCTCCATACCCTGAAGTTTCCCTTGACCTAGGCTAGTTTTCTACGATGTCCGTTCCTCCACGACCTGACTGGCTAGCCATCAGGTTCAACTTAGCTTTTTAGATCCTTTTAGACTTTTAGGGGTTTCCATTTTTCACCCACTAATCCTTAGCTTTTTAGATCCTTTTATACTTTTAGTGGTTTCCATGTTTCACCCACTAAAAGGTTATTCACTTTTAGCTGAGTGTTTAGTGGTTTCCATTTTAACCCACTGAAAGGCTCTTCACTTTTCGCGGGGGATCCTTGGCGCTGACCATTCGGATCCTTGCCGGGGTCACCGGGCGGCCGTTTCTCCAGGCCACGGGGGCGATGTGCTGAAGTTCAGCGGGGATGCGCTGACCATCCTGTGGCGCGTGGCGCCAGGTGCGGGCGAAGGGAAAAGAGTCAGGTCGATCCCTGCAATACGTTTGTTTGGCGCCTCCGGTGTCTCGACTTTTTTTGGGGGGCAGCGGCCATTTTAGTGGTTTTTGCAACTCAGTGTGGACTTTTTTTGCCAACTCGGAAAGCGAGGTTTCTGTGGTCAGTGGGTGTTTTGGGAGGTTGGTGGTTGGCCCATGAAAGCTTAGAACTGAGTTTGGTTTGTGGCCGGGTAGTCCTCTATCCTTGTGGTTTTTACCGTGGCAATGGTGACTGATTGGCAACTGCAGTACCGCAAGGGCCTAATTTCAATGGGGTTGGAAGGTATTGAACAAGAGAATCAAGTCAGCCCTTGTGTTAGCTATGTCGGGGGGGGTGTAAAACACCCTTTCAGGTTGTTGTTTTTTATTGTTTTCTTCTAAAAATACATGTATATAAGCGTGTTCGTATTTGTTTGTGGGTTGTATACCCATTTTCAGCCGCCGTTTCAACTTTTTGCATCTTTGGCTTTACTCCATGTTCCCTTTAAGCCAGCAACTCCCTCGCTGAGTTCCTGGACTTTAGTCACTGTTTGGGCTTTGACCACTTTAGTGGGCACAAAAGTTTGGTTATGTTTCTCGGCCAATCCACTCGATCGGAGTTGCAAAGTGTCAATTCACTTTTTGCCCGGGGGTTGGATTCCTTTCTCGCCCAGTGGCGAGCTCACCGTGAGTAACAAGCACAGCTCTCGAGTTCCATGTGAGCTACAATCAGTCACGTGGCTTGGTTTTGTGGATTTCCCACTCATTTCCTGGTTGCAATTTGCAACATGTGTTGGGAATGCTGACTGATCTTGGTGGCTCCCAGCCCATCCCCTTAGCTTTTTAGCCTTTTAGTGTTTAGTGGCAGTTTCCATTTAACCCACTAAAAAGTTAAGCTTTTAGCGGGGGATCTGAGGGGAGCCCAGTGATTGTTACTCACAAGGATGATGTGGTTATTACCAAGATGAACCTTCGTCCCGCGCCATTGAGCAGATGCCCGGTCGTTTATTGCCTTTCTCGGGCGAATCTGAGTCACAAAAGTCACAATCGAAAACCGCTTCGGGCAAGGGAAGGTTAGGGGCAGTGCCAGCGATTCATCCGAATAGCATGGTTTAGGGTGGACCCAATAAGTACCAGGTGTTGATTGCCATTTAAGATCAGAGTGGTGAGAAACGAGCCGTGCAATTTCCACGACAGTGCTCGGTGGGGGGATGACTGCCTATTTTTGTTTGTGGTTGCATGCTGGCAAAAGCACGTTTGTCAACGTGGCTTGTGTGGTACTTCGTGCAACATCACAGGTGGACAAAGGGCAATTTGTCACGTTCGCCCGGGTGATGGAATCGGCAACACATTGTAAATACATAGAATAAGGTGGCCTTGTAGGTGCTTTAGGGCAGGCCGTTTTGACCGAGCATCCCGTATCTCTCGGACAGCTAGTTATGTCCTCCAACAACTGCGTTGTCCCTTTTCCCCATGTCCAAAATCCCAAATCCTGCTGGATCTTGCGCATTTTTTAGCGCTGCACCAGGAGCATGAGTGTCTCGATGGGCGGATAGGAGCAGCTAAGAGGTGGCATCCGAGAATTTCAGGGGGTTCCGAGCGGGGGCAAGCTTTTCTGGGTTGCTGTTCCGCTTAGTTAGTGTTCCCAAAATCAACCAAGCAAAAATAAGATACACCCCTTTTTTGCCTTCTCACGCGCAGGTGATGAGAGTGACGAGGCGCTGCTTCGACCCCCTGAAACATGGCAAGGGGATGGCCGCCTGAGCTTGGTCTTCACATCGTGCAAAACAAGCACACACCTGCCTTACATGAGATGGGTTTGCTGCAGCAAGCAACCTTGCCATTCACACAAACTGAACCTCAAATCCAACCTGACCCACTTGCTATTCCAGCTTTTCAGGCATTGTGATCGTCATGGTCAGTTGATGTCATACCCCGAAAAGTAGGTATTAAATTTGGAGTAGGGGCAAGGCTTTTTCGAGCATCGCTTGCCCTGGCCCATCAGCCCGAAGTCGCACATGGACCAAAACGCGAGAGGCGCTTTGCCCGAAGGATACTCGTCAGTTTTTGTTTGGGGTCAGATTCTGGTGGTTAGGTTCCTTCACATGGTGAAACATGCCCAAGGTTTCATTTGGGGGTGGTCCATTTTTGAGGCTACTCTTTTCTGGTTGGAAGGTTCAGGGTCCATCTGATCAAGTCCCCAAAATAGACCAAAGTAATCTGGGAAGTCAAAGGGAGCCCGAAGGGAAGCGGGTCAAGGATAGGGTAACCCCAAAGTGGCTGCCGATCGCTAAATAGAAAGGACAGAACAAAACATCGGTCCAAAAAAAGGCTGAATTTGACCACCCATTTGAAGGCACACCCCCCAGGTTTATTGAGCCACCTTCCTTCCATTTCTTTAAATGAATATGTTTGACTTCCCCTAGTTTTAGAGTGAATCGATGTCACTACGGACAGATTTGCTCGTTTGTTCCAGGGGGCGAAAACGCAAGCTATGCTTCGGCAACCCATACACCAGAGGCGCGGCGCGCGGCCGTGTTCAGCGCCTGCTGCTGCTGCGAGGAGGTTCAGCGCGGAGCGCCGCTTGGACCGGGGGTCACCCCGCAAGCTACGTGGGTGTGTCGTTCTTTGTCCTCGTTGTTTGCTGGCTTTTAAAGGAAAACCCATAGGAAACCACCCTTTCGATGGTCTAAAAGAAGACACATGTGTGAAAATTGAAGAAAAAACAAATGCGGTTGTGTTTTTTGCTCTTCACAGGCTGCTAGCAAAGGGTAGCCTCACAGAAACACTCAAGTCCAACCAGCTTTTTCCCCAAGGACTGCTTCTTTCCCGTGAAGTTCGAGCTGTCCTTTTGTCAGAAGTCTTCGTTTGTGGGTCCCGAATCCGATTCGACCGGAGAAAATGAATCTCCAGGTTCCTCTCTTCAATGGGATTGGTTCTCTTCTGATGGCTCGGCGGCGGGGAACCAAACCCGCGAACAGGCGAACCAAACCGCGAGCGGCGTGTTTTTGTTCCGCGCCCATGCCGCGGTCTCCCTTGTAGCAGGTAACCCCTCGCTACTTTCCTGGTTTTTTCCCCGGGCGGCGCAAGTTAGTTTGGTTACCTTTTGCCAGGGTCCAGTGGATTCCACTGTTCTTTTTTCCCATTGGTGAGGGAAACCAACAGGCAAGCCAAAATCCATAGATCCAAATCCTCGGATTCCACTGGGGTGGCGAGCCTTTGCGGCCACCCCCAACCCCCCCCCCAAACCACCCCCCCCAACCTCCCCCAAGCCCCCCCCCCCCTCAACCTCCCCCAAGCCCCCCCCAACCTCCAACCTCCCCCCCGCCCCCCCCCCCCCCCGAACCTCCCAAACCCCCCGCTGGCGTGCGACCGCATGCGCCAGGCAGTCCTTTGGGCAGACCCCGATGCCGGACATCCGCCTTACGCTGCACATCGGGGTCGGCTTTGGACCGCTGAAGCTTCTGCAGCTAGGCGCGAGGCTTCGCCCCCCAAATGGCTGGTGTCCTGTAGGTAGCGTCCTTGATGGGTGAGCCTGGTGAAAAATAGATGGGTGTCACTGGTTTAGATGGGTTTTGTGCCATTTACCAGGGCCATCTATTTTGCCAAAAGGCCACCTATGGTCCTGTTGGTCCCCCTTCAAGCCAGCGACAAAAAAAGTGCTTTCTTAACAAGCAACAAACAAGTGTTTTGGGCGCGGCTTCTTAAAATTCACATCCGGCCCAAGAGGAATGTGAAATTCCGTCGAATGGTTTGGTCAAATGCTCTGACATCAGGGAACGTTGGGCCTGGCGGCTCAGTTCCATCTTGTTTTGCAGCACTGCCCTTCCAGACATACCTACCAGCATTGTCCAATGGAGAGCATGTCATCAGCTCAAACAAATCGCAAGACGAAAGCAAAGCATGGCAGCCCTATGCTTAAAGCAAACCTTTGCACCTGACATTGAAAGTGCCAGGTAACGAAATGCAATCACAATCGACCTGCGGCAGAAGACCATTGCGACATGTACCGCAGCTATTCCCGACGTACGAAGTTTTTGCTTGCCTGTGCGATAGGCAGGGAATGAAAAGTGGAATGACCCCTATAAACCATCCCTTGTAGTTTCCTTTAGGGGAATCCCTAGGTTCACTCCCTCATTGCCTGCTGACCACCAGCAAGTTTGTCCGATGTCATGCAAAGTGTGGATTTGAAGGCGGGACACTCCCTGGATTGAGGAATCCGCTTCCGTTCAGAAACCCTGGGTTTTGGCTGACTCCCCAACGTAAAAGCCAAGAAACATTGGCTTCAACCGTAGTTTCTCATTTGGCGCGAAATGGATTTGGAGGTTTTCACTTTGTATGGTGGTGTTGTCAGCATCACCTTTTGGCTTGGAGTTGGCGGTTATGAACATGGGCCGAGTTACAACGAGTGTCCTTTTGGGGTGATTTTGAAAGGGCTGGCTTGCAAACTCAAGATAGCCAACTCACAGGCCCCCTTCCAAATGGTCCAAAGCGTTGCTGATTGAGCCAGACAAGGAGTTGGCCCCACTGAAGTTGGGGTTTCTTTGGAGAATGATCGGACAGCTTAGTTGCACAAAGCCGAACTTTTTTCGCCTTTGCCTTGAGAACACCACCATGGTCCGTTTTTCCGGTCCCAACGGCCGCTTCGCCAAGCGGTGTAGCTCGCTCAGAGCTTGCACGGCTCGCTTGCACGGCTCGCAGGTGGGCTGCTGGACCGATGGGAGTTCTGTGCTGCAGGTCAACCACTGGAGGAGGTGGGAAGATACGGCCACCATGAAGGTCCTGTTGTTACGCCACGGACTTTGAAACGTTCATGCCACAATGCTGCAAAACATGGTGTTTTCAGCATTTGCTCAGGTCGTGTTGTCCTGGATCCAACAAAGCATATTCGAGATGCCTCATATATTTTTTGGAGTCTTCTCAATCCTGGCCCACCCTCAAGACCCCTCCAAACGCTTCAAAGCTTTGCACACGTGTTTCCCCGGATTGAAAATTGAAGATCCCCCAGATTTCTTTTAGAATCTTCCATTCTGGCCAGCCCTTAAGCCCCCCAAAAAAAGTTTAAGTTGAGCATCATGGATTGAAGCTGAAGATAAATGCACTGGTGTCCTCCTAATCTGTTTGACTTAAATTCTGGCATGGATACTTAGTGCAACCCAGGATGTGCTAGCACATCCTGGATTGACGATTGCCGATTCTCAGACCACTCTTTCAGAATATTCAATGCATACTTGGGTTAATCTAGTACGTTCTAGCACATCCAGAAACTAAGTCAAGAACACGTGCATTTTTGGAGCATCATTTTAAAGAGGACATGCATTTTTCTTTACAGCAATCATGGCCCAGTCTGCCTGAGTACTCCAGGGGGTGTCATGTATAGATATATAGGTTTCTTGCAAAATCTTGGAGGTGGACAGAAGGATCCGGGAAAACTGCAACCCTTGTGAAAAGGCCTCTGGTCTACGTGCTTCAATGATTGCCGGGAAAAGAGTAGCGCTTCGTGACTAAAGAACGGACACTGGGACGCCCTTGAAGAACCTTGCCCAAAATGTTTCGTGTTTGCGAGTTTTCTGGATAAATAAACCTGCTTACTTGGGGTTGCTAGGGATGCTCCTTCCCCTACTAGGAATCGTATGCGGTCTCTTCCAAAACGATCTTAATTTTAAGGGTGGACTGAATATGAAGCAGAATCTGAGCTTGCTATGTTCATCTATTCTCTCATTTTGTTGTCTATACTTTATTGCTTTTGTGCTTCTTTGGACTTTAACTTTTTTGGGAAACAGAGGATATTCCGTTGGACCCACAAAAAGCTAAACTTTTGCAGAGGGGTCAACAGCAACCAAGTGGAGAATGCCCTATACTTTGGCGAAATGGAGCCACTGAGTTCCTTTGGCTTTCGTTTACCCTAAAGCACACATCCCTCGAAAAAGTGCACCCCCTTCCTTCAATTCATGTACCGGGAGGGCCTGTGTATGTTTGGTAAATGGAACTGGGGGAGGCAAAAATATGATTTCCAGTTAGGGGTGCGGCCTCCAAACCACCACTGCTTTAGGTTATGATGTCAATCCCCGTAGTTTAAGAAGGAGGTATTTGCTGCCCTGGAAAGCAAAGTTTGCTCCCCCAAGGCCCCCAAGGTTATTGTGCCCAGTGGATCCCAGTTACCAAGAGTCAGTAACCATTTTCCTTTTGATTTTGACAGGGCTCACTTGGTTACCTCCTAAACAAGGACATGGGTGTGTTTTTTTGAGGGTACCCCCTGTTTGTGGTTAAAGGGGAAAGGAACCCACCTTAGAGGGTTCCACTATACCATGGAATCACTGGGCCCTGTTCAGCCCATTAAAACAAGGAGGGTTCATATTTCACAACCGTTTTGTAAGGATTGTCACCCAAGTTGGGTCTCCTTGGGCCTTCCTTTTCTTTGGTGCATTTTGCTTGGATGTTAGGACTTTAACTTTTTGCCAACTCATGGGTGTTCCGTATTAAACCACAAAAAGTTATTCACTTTTAAGCAGGGGAGCAGAAAGCAAACGAGCCACTAAGTGTTTATGGCTGCTTTTGTTGACCGACCTGGCCTATCGGTCGGAAGCCGTTTTCTATTGAGCTTGCCTTTGCGGGATTCCTGTGGCTTAATGCGGACCATGGACGCGCAACCAGTGTGATGCGCTGTTGGTATCTTTTTTGGAGAGAATCGGTTGAGCCTTCTTTTAAGAAAGCATAACCCCCCCGCTTATCCCCCCCCCCTTTTGAGACATGCTATAGCACTGCTATTGGAGTGACAGGTCTGGGGTCCAGGTCTAGGGTCTAGGATTTAGGGTCTAGGGTCTAGGGTCGAGGGCTATCTTTTGTTTGGAGGGAATCGGTTGCGCCTTGACGTCAGGTGGCCATTGCGGAGCCCCTCGCCAAGCCCGGAGAAACGGTGGTGAGCCCCTCCGTGCGCGAGCTCCTCCAGGGCGCCTCGGCCTGCGAGAAAGGACAAACACCTTACAACCTGCGGAGGCCGAACACTCGTTTTTTTTTGGGGTTTGGACTATTTTAGTGGCAAACAAACAGTTTGGGAGCTTGTTTGGCCAGTCCACTCAGGAAGTGAGTTACGGAGCCGTGGCAAACGAGCGGCCCGGGAATGTCCTGCAAAACGGGGCGGGGACTCCTTTTTGGATGGAACATATGGGAAATGTTTTGATGAAGCTTGTGACGGTTTTGGTGTTGATTGAAAATGCATATTTCACTTTGGATGAAGCTTGTGATGTGTTTTTGCGGATGGACACTTTTGTGTGAGAGTTTCCCAGAAACAGGATATCATTTTTGGATGATGGGGGCTATAGCCTGATATGGCTGTTTGCCAACAGTACAACCGCACAAATCATGACTGCATATGATTTTGCGGATGAATTCTGCAGTACTGTATCACGTCCGGCTTGGGAATGGCTGTCATTTGTGCAGATGAATTTATGACACAAGGAGCGATTATTTGGGGATGAAGTGTCGCAATTTGCCCCGTTCGTTGTTCACAATGCACGCACCTGTGCACCGCCAAACAAGGGACAGGTATTACGAAAAGTTGTTGCTTCGTCGGGTTGAACCGCAAGGCTTTGTTGCACATGGTTTGGTGCACTTGCCGCCCTTGCAAAAGGGGATCATGCTGTGTGGGCAAGGGTTGTTCCATTCTTGAGCGCATGACATAATGACAGATGGCAGGGTTGTTGTCCAATACCTTTCTTATCACTACTGTGGATTTACAAAACCCTGCACCACTTTGAAACCATGTTTGACAACCTTGTTTGTTGGTATTTGCAGGGGAATGGAATCATTCCAGGGTTTCTGAACGGTGGTGTGAATTGGATTTCGCAACCATGCACAGTAGGGCTTGGGCCGCAACCGGTCTTGCCAGTTGGATCTATGTCGGTGTAAGGACCCCTCTCTATGGCTAGGCCCCCCAGTAGTGTCCTTTGGGGGAGGGTTCCCCTACTAAAATAGACTACAGAAAAAGCAAATGGGTACCCTTATTCTAACCTCTCTACTGGAGGACTCGAGAGGGACACTGGAGGTAACAGCGACCACCCCAATGTTCGGCCTTTTCCCAGTTGTTCAGCAGCCGCCTTTTTGCTTGGTTCACCCCTGAATATGGTGAACCCCTCCAGCGTTCCCTTTTTCTAGGTCATTCAGTTCTTGATTATTATAAAGAACAATGGATATAAATATGTTGGGGAGGAATCCCTAAATTTCCCTTGGCCGGAACAAAACCCCATCCACCCTTTGAGCGAGTAGCGCGGTGATGTGTAGCGTTGGTTTGTCTTCGTCTCAGACTGGTTGCAACTTGCTGCCCAGGTTCCAGCTTCTTCGGCTTCCAGGCACCGGATCTCTCGGGGAGAAAACGGAGTCCGGGTCCTGTGGTGGGGGGCTCAAAGTCTTATAGGTTCTAAGGAAGGTATGGCGCAATCCTCACCCCACCCCTGGAATTTATGGCGCAATCCTCACCCCCACTCCTGGAATTGTCCATTTGTTGGACATTTTCCGATTTTCCCTTTTATGCAAAGCTAGATCAGTGGAATTGCCCCTGTGGTAGGGGGGGATATTGCAGAGTTTTCAGCCGTTCGACAAGGTTGCTTGAAGGATACATGGCCATCTTGGATACATGGCTCTTGCTGAAAGACTTCAAAAGATCAGGTGTCCGTTAGAAGTTCTTCGGAACCAGCTGATAGTCACCCAATACAACCCGATATTGACAATTTGCTTAGGAAGTTATGATCCCAAACAAATACATCCAAGCTGGTCCAAGCCCTTTCACGCAATCCTCCAAAGCGGGCCCTCCCATGCTTTTTCCCCTAGATAGTATCCAAGAGCCTTGCATTTTTTGTTCCGGAAGGAACCCAGAACGGGAGGCTCAACCAAAAAGCGGACTCATTCAACATGGTGTTGGTGTCCACATCAATCTAACCTCACGCATGAAGGTCCCTGACTTGAGGATGCCTTAGTTCCAGAACTAGGTCCCCCAGTAGTGTCCTTTTACCCTTTTTGGGGGGGAGGGTTCCCCTACTAAAATCGCCACAGAAAAAAGGACACCCTTATTCTAACCTCTACCTAGAGAAAGTAATCAACCTGCGGCGTGTGAATCAACCGGGTTTCCCAGCACGCGCGGAATTCTGCAGACTCAATCTTTGTGTGGTAATGATGTACCTTAAGGAAGCATTCGCAGTAGACCCAAAACAACGGGCTGTTTGGTGTCCCTTTTTTTTTTGAAGGCCAATGTCTAGTCCATATGATGCCCTAGAAAAAACACCGGTTGGATGGTTCAGGGACTCTGGCTATCAAGCCAGCAAGGGGATATTTGGCTGTGGCTCAAACACACGTACCAAAAATCGGCGCCTTGCTAGATGGAACCAAAGACTAAAACCTGCGGTTTCCCAGTGTGCCCTAGCTCTTTACTTTTGAGGGCCATGGGCCAAAATCCCTTCCCCCCAGTGAACATCAACCAATCCAACCACTAAAATAGGTAGCCTAAAATGGGTAGGTGAATTCACCTACCAACCAAAATGGGATCCCAAAACGTTTTGGAGCCACGGCCATCTGGGTTTCAAAGGCACACCCAAGGGCCTTCTCGGAGGCGCTGCCAAGCTCGGACTACGCGCTGCTGGTGCCCAAAAGCCAACCCCCGGGCAAGGCGACTGGATCAAAACACCCGTTGGTTTTGGCTTGGTTTGTGCTAAGCCCAACTTCCATTTGCTGAATTATGTTCTCTTCTTCGGTGTTTTTTGTTGTTTTCCCTTGTTGGGTTTAAAAAGGACTTATCACTACTGGTCTTTTTTTGTTCCAGGGGGCTCAACCAAATGGAAGCCCAGGTGAAGGACCACTGAAAGAAAACGCCCCATTTGCAAAGAAAACAATTGGGATGTTTACCCCGGTTGGTGTAGGGCATCTATCACTACTGAAAGTATGCTTTTATGTTTTCCGGGGGACTTGGTCAAATGCATGAAAAGCAATGAAACTCGCTTCCTGAGTTTCTAGACTTTGAACTTTCGGGGGGTGGACAATTTTAGTGGTCAACATACAGTTTGGGAGCCTTTTTGGTCCATCCACTTGATTGGAAGTGACCAAAGAACGGAAAAAAGTACAGCAAGGAATAACAATAAATCAAACACCCAAGGAAACCAACAATCCAAAGAAGACGAATAGAGACCCACAACTGAAAGGAGATCTAAATAAATCCAGAGGTGGAGAACAAAGAAAACCCAAGTAAGACTCAAGGCAAGCTCAAAGCAATGCAGTGTGGAGGGAAGTTAAGCACAACCCAAGAGAACTTCAATGAAGAGCCAAAGAAATCAAACAAACCAGTTGAAGACACACGCAAGTAAACTCAGAGGCAAACTGACAGAACCCAGAGAAACCACCAAGAAAGCGACAGGAAGGTAAGGAAGGGAGAACCAAACTTATCGCCAACCGCAATGAGAGGGTCCAATTTCCAGCTTTTTGTTGGGTCCCAAAGGCCTCCCAAAGAAAGGATCAAGCCATGTGTATGGCTGTTTTGGTACGACTTGCAACCTTAAATGGTCCCATGTTTGGGTGTGACCATGTGACATGAACTCATGGATGGATTCATTTTTCTGAAATAAATGCTTGTTTTTTTTTGATTGAACTTGGGTTGGATCTTTAGACTTTCACCTTTTGGGGATTCCATTGGGGTTTCCATTAAACCCACAAGCAGTTGTTGACTTCTGCAGAGGGGTCAACAGCAACTAAGCTTTTGTCACCATTGCTTAAGGAGTTGCATCGTCTAAATTTAATCATTATTTTACTGCCGGTGTTTCACCTCAAGGGGGAAACAAATAGGGTCAAACCAACAACCGGGGTCTCATTTGGACAGCCCGGGTTAAAACTGGGGTCATCACCGAAGAGAAGCATTTTAGTTCTTGACATTTTAGAAATTACTTTCGGGATGACCAGGAAAAAGAACTGCACAAGTTGCATTTGGATTGATCTTGTGTTGGGCTTTCGCAGCAAGGGACTCGCAAATGGCACCAGGTTGCTGAGTTCCTGGACTTGATTCTTTCTGTTGGAAGACTTGTTTTTAGTGGTAAACCAACGGTTTGGAGTGTTTTTTGGCCCGTCCAGTCAGGAAGTGAGTTTACTTGCCTACTGGTTGTGTTTCTGTTTGCTTCCCTTGCATCAATGAAACCTCATCCCTGGATTTTGTTGGTTTCCCCCTACAAAGACTCCCGACAACCTTCAACCATAAGATAGGTTTCTGGTTTCAGTTTGGTACATAGATTGAACCAGTGTAGGGTCAGTTTCTCCTGAACTTTACCATTATTTTGGGAGGACCACCAACATGTGTCTACCAAACATCTCTGCCCATCCGTGGAATTGACATGGCCAAAAGAGCACCTTGGATGTTGAACTCGCAGGCAGGCAAGAAAAAATGGCCCTAAAAAGTTCGGTCACAACCATCCCAGTGGATCCATTTATTTGTATAGGCAACCAAAGGAACCCTTTCAACATCATGAACATAGCGAAGGGTTACCCGCAAGGGAAACAAAATTCACTGAGAATGGCTTTCCTACTAGTCTAGGGGTTGATTCCCCATTTTGTCAAACACCACTTTCCCAAGAGTTTCTAACGGGCTTTGGAGATGATTATTTCGACATGTATGGAAGCTAGCTCGTGGGTTGAACCCCATGCCCCCGAAAGCGCCTTCATTCATGTACCAACTCCACAGAAACGCTAAGAGCCCCAAACAAAAAACGCGGCACAACCGATGGACAAAATCGTTGCAAGGAGTCTCGCACCAGTTTTCATGGCTGAAACCTATACTTGGCCGCCGCTCCAATGTTCACGGCTGTACCAAGATCCAAGGGTATTTTCTTCAGAGTGGTTGCATCGTCATGGGGATATCTCGGTTTGGCATCGCAGGGATTTTTTCCACGTGCAACTTATGTCCCGGGGTTCGATTCCGAGCTGTTTGCCCTTTGGCCTGGGGAAACGCCACCGATCCCATGTGAAAGTGTTTTTTTTCTTTTTTTTTCTTTTTTTTTCGGGGACCCCCGGACCCCCCCAAGAATGGTGTTTTTTTTGTTGCCATTTGTTTCGCCATTTGTTTCCCTTGCAAACCCACACAAAAGAAGCCAGCATCAACTGGTGGTGTTGCCATTTTGTCCCTTGCAACCCCCCCCCCCAAAAAAAATGAGAAGAAAACACAGCATCATCATCAGGTTTTACCGGCACATGTGTTTCTTCAGCTGGTGTGTCCCCCTAAGGGGGCGGTTTTTTTTTCCTCACGAAACGAAGCCGATGGCGAGGAGCTGCGGAACCCCAAGCGCCGGCCGAACCTGGACGGCTTGGTGGTGCAGCGCTACGTGCCACAGGCTGCCAAGAGGCACCGGCTTTTTTTGGGTCCTTTGGGGGGGGGGGTGGGGGGGGGTGGGGACGGCGAGTTGTTTGTTCTGTTTTGCGTTTGGTCGTTTGTTGTTGTGTGATTTTTTGCGGGCGGTTGTGTGTGTGTGTGTGTGTTTTTTTTTGGGGGGGGGAGGGGGGGGGGGTGGCGTGGGGGGAGCGGCTCGTTTTTGTTGGGTCTCGTTGTTCGTTTTGTTTTGCGGGGGGAAGGGGCGATTCTTTCTTGGGCGGATCGTTGTTGTTGGGAGTCATTTTGTTTGTCTTGATGCCATGTTGAGATTTGACTTACCCTCCCACCTTTTTTACATGGAACCTGACGTTCGGGACCCGGTCACTTTACAAGGAAAATGGTCTTCCAGGACCCCAAAGTGTCAGGTTCCAATTGGTGGGAGGGTGGCTGGATTTTTACGGTGCTGTGGGTGGATGACATTCTGCACCAGTTGGGATGGATGAAGCCCGATTTGAATACTGCAACACCCTTTCATTTGAGGTTTGCGGGCCGACCCCCAAAACAATTCAGACCATTGCAAAGGTTCCTCCGAGAAAACATGACCATCCCCCTAAACTCTAAACCATCAAATTGTCAAACCCTAAGCCTTAACCTCAAACCACAAATCATACTTCCTAACCCATAAACCCTAAACCATAGACCCTAATCCTTAACCCTAGACCAAGTAGGGCACAACTCCAGAGATGCATGCGACATCACTGCCCTGAGTCCAGGTCCTTTAGGCCGTTTCCTGGTTTTCTTGCTGCTCGGGAAGGATCCCAGGCTTTGGTCACCTGAAGGGAAACCACACGTTGGATGGATAGGGTCATGGCCATGTCTCATTCCCTGCTGAGCACCAGCAAGTTTTGGTTCAACCTTGCATCTCTCGTTTTTATGCTTGGAGACATTTCCTAGATGGCTTTGCACGCCCCTTTTCCTAGTTTGCTTTTGTGGTTTTTGCGGAGGTTTGTCAAGAAGGATCCTAGCCTCTTCCTGTTTATTTGGTGCCCCAATAACATGTAATCAAGACAACATGTGGTAAGATAAAGCATCCCTTTGAGGCGCCTCCTAATGGTCGGGTTTTAAATGGTTTCGCTTGGGTTTTTCATTTGGGATGTCCTCCCATCCGCATGGAACCTCACAGGGGGGTTCCTGGTTTGGACAAGCTTCCTTTAGTAGCCCGGATGGCAGCTTTTGAATCTGTCAAGGGCTTCCTTTTGGGCAAACCCCGCAAACATCCAGTGCGGGGCGGGGCATGGGGCGTTAAGCCCATGTCGGATTTAATGGCCCGACCTGGGCGCGAAATCCACCGGTCCTGACTGTTGAAGTGTTTTTTGTTTTCGGAGAAGGCTGGTTTCCCACAAAGCAACTTGTGTTTTCAGTAACCAAAGTTTAGTTGATGGTGATCGCTGGTTTTTGGATTTGAAGCCCTGGTTCTTGAGGGTAAATGGGAAACGTAACCAGGCTCCAAACCACCAAGAAGGAAGCTGAAATTTTGCTGGGGCACCTTGCTTTCTTTCGGGAACTGCACGCATCCCAGTCCTCTCGTGTTCGAGGAGACCCTGGTTTGCAACCCCAACCTGTTTTGGGTTCGCCAAATCCTAAGGCATACAAGCCACCCCAGGGGGACCCAGGATATCCTTTAATTACACAGTGGCCATGGTGGCTGTATCTTCCATTCACCCGGTTCCCGTTAGCTTCGGTTTGGAAAAAATGGTCGGGCAACATGTGTTTCAAAAAAGAAAGAGCCCAGCTGGTCCTCTTTCAAGGGAACAAGGAAGGCCCCGTGGAACCCTCTGCCAGGTTGCTGTCGCAGCAATCGGAGTCTCTGATTTTGGGCTTGGAACCCGAGATGCGCCGAGTCTCTGTGATCTTCCTCTCCATCCGAGGCGCGGCCGGGGACTTGCGAGAGCCGGGCAGATGTCTCATCATGGACCCTCAAACTACCATCAAGCGCGGGGTGAGAACCAACATTGATGTGGCAGCAAACCCATTGTTAGGGGGAAGTTTGAGGGTCAGGCTATGATTGTGTTGGAATGCCCTCAACACAGTGGTTGATAGATGTGAATCCCCACCGAATTTGATGTCCACCAAAGAGTCCCAATTAAACGAAACCTTATAGTCATTTACCCCCTATGGCAATGGTTTCCTGGTTCGCCTTTACCAAGCCAAAAGTTGTTATATAAGCCTTTTAATTGGCGGGTAATTGTCAAGAATCAGTTAAAAGGTAAGTTTTTATAAAGGTAATAAACCTTGAGAAACAATTAAATGAAACAATTGTTAATTGTTATAGGCCTTGAGAAACACCCTTATGGTTGTCAAGAACCCTCGAATTGAGTTGCTGTTTGGTTTCCCGAACTGGCCTCGTACCGTGACTCACACCAAGTGGTAGCTACCTGGATCTCCTGGAAGTTAAGAATTCCTACTCCAAAACTGAAAAAGTACTTTTTGGCCTGAGGACACGGGTATTTCCACTTTCGAACGGGTATTTCTACTCTTGAACGGATATTTTCACTACCATCGAAGTGTTCATAAATCAGCACTGCACATAAATGATCAAAGGCTTATTGCGTAATGTTGGCGTATTTTTTACGTACCTCCGAACGGGTCCGAACGGGTCCGAACGGGTCCGAACGGGTCCGAACGGGTTCGAACGGGTTCGAACGGGTTTCGATCGGGTTTCGAACGGGTTCCGAACGGGTCCGAACGGATGCCTGAGCAGTCGGAACTACCCGAACGGGCATTTTAACACGGAGTGAAAATTATCACTCCAGCATGGAAGAAAGTACTTTTTTCTTTTTGGAGTGGGAATTATTAACTTTCAAGAGATGCAGGTACAAGTTGCTGATTTTAAGAAATTTCCAGACAGTCAAAAGAAATGGGCCCGTTTCCCAGTTGTTCACTACCCAAAAAAGAGGGGTATGAGGTTTTGAACGCACCCGTGTGGGTGTTTCTGTGGTCAAAAGTGCTTTTCGGGGTGGTTTGGGTGAACAGGCGCTAGAATCCCGCAGCCCTAACAGAGTCTCAACAAAGACATACGGGAGTTGATCAAAAGGTCCTGTGCATGGGATGACCAACAAGCAAGGTTCACTTGGAGGCCCGAACTGGAATATTGATCAACCCTTCACATGTCAATCTACATGGGGATTTTACTCCCCAAATCAACATACGGCACCCATCAAAATTGTGTCTATTTCCCAAAAGGAGTTTCTTTTCCTGCAAATGGTGTCGTTTGATCACCCCCACGTCAAATCCCTGGGAATCAAACTACCATTGAAACAATGGTTGGGTTCTATGTCACCAGCACTGTTCCATTGTTTACCGTTCAGGATTGCCATCATCTAAATTGGTCCTGGCCAGCCATTCTTTTGATACGAAATTGAAACGGTTGAACCCAGGGAAATGCCGTGGATGGACAAAATCCATTTCGCACCGCCTCAGAAACCTTGGACTGATTCGATTCCCCTTTAAATACCAACGAACAATGGAGTTTTCCTCTGGTTTCATTTCGTGCTGCGACGGATTTCGTCCGGCAGTATGTTGCAGATGCTGTCTCAAATGTTTAACCAGGGAAAAGTCTATTTTACCACAAGCACACCTACGTGGATGGACGAAATCCTGCACCACTTTGAAGCCATGGGGAGCAATTCTTGGTTGGTATTTACAAGGGATTCATCATTCCCGGCTTCTTAGGTGATGCAGGATTTTGTCCATCAAGTTCAACCCTAGGGCCCATCTTTGTCTCTCTTTTCCTCGGGCTGACTGGGCGACATCGCCTCGCCTCGCGGAGTCATGGGAGGTCTGGACCCCGGGCGGGCGGAGGAGGACGGCGGCCGCACGCAGCAGCTGGTGCAGCTGCTGCAGGCCTCCTGCTACGCCTTCGAAGGCGCGGCTGGCGGACGGGACCTGTGGAACCTGAGTGGGACGTGTGGGACCCGTGGGCATAGGTGTCCTTTTTGGTTGGTTTGCAAATGAAAAATAGAGGGCGATTCCTAGTTTGGAGGGTTTTTTTTCATTTACCAGGGCCATCTAGGACGTGAGGGTGAGAAATGCTTCATGGGACGTGGGACGTGGGGGTGATTCTGTGCTTTTACTACGTCCCCCAGCTAGGTGCCCTTTCTCACCCCTTTTTTTGGTTGGGAGGAATCCCTTACTAAAATAGACAACAGAAAAAGAATGGTACCAACTTATTGTAACCCTCTCTACTGGAGGACCTAGTTTATGATGGACCTGCAAAGGAGTGGGGCGAGCTGATCCTCGGCTTATCCTCGGCTTCACCAGGTCTAGCCCCCCCCCATCCATCGCCCTCGGGGTTCAATGCTTAGCCTCCCAGACTCCCCGGCACTCCCCGGCACTCCTTTCATGGGTTCCGGTGGGCATTCTCGATGAAGTTGCCGAGACCCCAACGTCCCTCTAACGCTCCGCACGCGGGTGGCTCGTCCTTTTTGAGTCGTAGCTCTTGGGCTGGTTCTTGAGTCGGGAAACCACATGAAAGCCATGGGCCAATCGAACCTCTCCTTTGACACCAGGTGCTCCGGGGCGCAGGAAGCATAGGGGATTGCTTATTTGTCATTTGCTCAGAAACCAACCAGCGCCCAAAGTGATGGTCGCCATTTGAGGGACACCGCCCAGTTTTAGCAAGCAGCTTGGTTTCCCGTTAAATGGCACACCCGATTCATGACAAGTCAATGGTCGGTGGGCCAAAATGTTGGCGCAGAGGCTTGTTTGCCTCTCAACAGGCATGTTGGTCTCAACAGAGAGCCTCCATTCCTGGGGATCACCGGCATTTGCGCCGCAGTGTAGGAAGAACTGCGGATTTTTCGCGGGCAAAGCTGCACTGCTTGCACGGGGAGAATGAGGCACCATGTTTTATCGCGTTCCACCTGGCTGAGGGGGTTCCAAGTTCATGCGGGCCAGCTTGTCCGTCCGAAGACTTCTGAGGCAGTGTGAACAAGTTCCTGGTGGATGACAAAGGCTGAGTCCGGAGTTGGCTCGCCATGGGGTGATTGGTAAAGATGTGGTCGTGACTTGTTATGAGGATACATGTTTAGGGACCCATTTGGGGGCTGATTGGGAAAGATGACCCGTGGCGCTTTGAATTGGAGCAGAAGTGGTACTTGGATCCGAGTCAGAGATTCAGTCCAAAAGCTGTCAGCCTCGCAAGCGGTGAGTTGTTCTGGCCTGATTGGGTAGGCCGGTAGGCCGAGCGCAGCGGTTTTGTTGGGCCTGCGAAAAACATTAAGTTTCGCTCCCTGGGTTCCGGGACTCAATGCCTTTTTGGGAAGCACACAAACAGTTTGGACTCTTCTCGGCTGATCCATTCCTCCTATGAACTGTGTTTTTGCCTTGGTCTCTAGCTCCTGCCCAATTGCGAAGGGCGAGTATGGCCAGTCCTGGTTTGCAAACGTTCCAGATTGGAGATGCCGGCTGGGAGTTGCTCCCTGAGAGTCTTGTGTGAAGCCAGAATCCTTGGAGTTGGCTATAGGGCACCTCGTGTCGGCCTTGATCAAGAGAGGTTGGCTGTTTGTCGTCGATCCTCAGCTCCGAGCCTAGTTTCTCCTTATACTGGGGTCATTATTTTGACGGTTTCTGGGGGTTATCAAAGTCAGAAAATGGGGTTGTTTCCCTTTGACCCACCACTTAGGGGGTGACTTAAATAATGAGGCCAGTCTTATTGTCCTGATGGTTTGGATTGGTGGGATTTGAAGCGCTGGTTCTTGAGGGGGGAATTTCGGACTTCCCTCCCAAAGAAATCCTCAACCCGAGCAAATTGGAACCCCAAAACTCTCAAGAATCCCACAGAATTCCATCCCCAAAGGCAGAAAAGGGTCTATTGGAGGTCTGGGATATGCGGAAAACAATTCTCCGTTTTTTGGGTGCTCCGTGTCCTATCCGGCGCTTGTGGGTCACTTGCGGCTTCTCGGTACTCGAACATAGGTGACCTTTTGGACAAATAGATCGGGTTTTCCTGGTAAGTGGGGCATAACACTAATCCCAGCGCAGGGCTCACACATTTTCCGACTCGTCTTGCTGGGGCCCCAACCAACTATCCGCTTCCGACTACTTGGTGGATTGGAGCCGAATCGGTGGTTTGGTGGTTGGGCGTGGTTTCCCATTTACCCATGGACCACCCCCTTAAAGACTTCATCGCCATCCTTTCAGGGTCCACCACAAAACGGGATACAAGACTCATCACTCAGATGCCCAGTGGATTTCCATGGGAAGAAAGGGACATTGCTTTTTTGGTTGGTTGAGTTTAAAGGGACACTTGCGGCATCTTCGGAGCCCCCCCGGATTCGACCACCCCCTTAGTTCCATTTGCTTAAGAATATGTTTTTTCCCCTTGTTGGTTTTAAAAGGAACTTCTCACTACTGGACATATTTTTTTATTTTTATTTTTCGGGGGTCTTAACCAAATGGAAGCTTAGGGACTCCATCGCCATCCGTGCTTCCGGCAGGCATGCTGCTGCTTTGTGCCTTCGGCCTTCCTCCGCTGAACCACTACCTCGATGACCCGCCCCTCGGTCGAAGTCGAACTTCGCCGCTGTTCCCAGCGGAAGGCGTTCGTCCACAAAGGTGGGTCCTGACCTTTGTGGGTCCTGGAGCCTCAAACTAGCAAATGGGATATTGCTCCTGACAAAAAGGAGCAATATCACATGTTTTTCGTTGGCAGTTTGAGGGTCCAAGTCACCAAACATGCGCTGACAGAAATGTGCTCTTGTCTCTTAGCCCCCTGGCGAGGTTAGATCGCGAGCGCAAGGATCCCGGGCGTTCGCGGTCCTGCTGCATCTGCTTGCTTTGAAATCGATCTGCAATCCTTGCAATGTTGACCCTCGAATCATTCTCCCATAGCCAGGGGGGGTTTTGTGGAAGGAAGGATTCCTCGCTAAAAAGGGACCCCCCCTGAAGATTCAGTGGGGGTTTATTAATCAGGGGTCAGCTTGTCCAGATGGTAGTGGTTTCCTGTGTCGAAGTTGGGATGCGGACGTAGCTTGGAGCAAGAACTCGTAGACTTGACCAAGCCAGTGCATTAACAAGCCGTTGCTTGTTTCATGGTCGTATCATTGGTCGAGACCTTGGTTGAAGACAGCCTCAAAGTTGCAAAGCACAACACTCTCGAGCAACTCACTGAGCAAAGTCTTCTTTGGCAGGCGATACTCTGCGATCCATGTTGCCATGGAACCTAACATGGGGGTCCCGGGACCGTTTGGTGTGTTCCACGTGGACGGGAGGGTAAGGAATCTGCAGCGACCTGACTTCCCAAGCGGCGTGCTGTCACGCCGAGATCAAAGGTCGCGAGCCATCACGAGGCTCTCAAGGCATCACAAGGGGCCCCTGATTTGGGCCACATGTCACATGAGACGGCATCAACTGACTGGTGCACAAGTTGCATCAGCACCATCCTTCTTCAGTTGATGGCCGCTGTACAGGGCTGGGTGCAGAGGTGGCAGCTTGTCGAAGCCGACGAATGGCTGATTGTCCTGCTTTGGCATTCTTCTTGGCTCTCCGGAACAGTGGGTCGAAGGTGATGGCCCAGATGTTGGTGCGGAGGAACTGGAGCAAACCGGCTCTGCAAGATGCCGGCTTCTTCGTCAGAGCATCTCCGAGGTCATAGTTGGAGGCAGTCCCTGGAGTTCAGTTCTGACTCTCTCGAGGCTCTCCCGAACCTGATAGGCTTGCGACGTAGCTCGCATGTTGCTCAGTCCCAAGGTTGAAGACTCATGCATGGTGACAGCGTCGTAGCCGCCCTTGGCTGCATGACGACCACGGGCAAGGTTGTCTTCGGTTGGGGGATCACAGGCAAAACGGACACGGGCTTCCTCCGGGTATAAGGTGTGGGATTCCATGACATGCTGTGAGCTCGTGGAGGTGGCCAAAACATGAACTTGGGGTTGACCTTCATGTTGTACTGACCCACCAGTGAGATAACCACAATGTCCACCAAAAAGTGGCCCTTGTGAGGATCTGGTAGAAGTGAATCCAGAGCATACCCAGTATCCAGATCCACAACCATACCAACTGCTTGGCCCGGAAGCACCGTGCCGGTGCAACACGGCCGCTGTCAGGGAGACCATGTACTTGACAACGAAGCCATGCATGGCCTATAAATGGCAGGTCCTGAGCTTGGAGGTGGGCAATCATCTTCTTCAGGACTGAGAACCAGGTCACTTTTTACATGATGGCCTGTGTGATCATGAAAGTCACGGCCAAGGGCACGGGTGCCTACAGCTCGGGCCACTTCCAGGATGAGTTCATACACCCGACCACGGCTCAGGCGCTCGTGGAGAGGGTTCCCATGGGGTGCAGTGAGCTGTGGACGGCTCACGACCATGCACTGCTGCTTCGCAATAGCACGCCAGTTCGTGCAGGCAAGACGATATTGCGCCCGATGAATTACGCGAATCTCACAAAGGAGCCGGCCAGTAAAAAGCTCGCGGCCAAGAGTGCCATGAAGGTCAAGCCCGCGGCCAAGAATGCCATGAAGGTCAAGCCCGCGGCCAAGAATGCTATGAAGGTCAACCCCGCGGCCAAGAATGCCATGAAGGTCAAGCCCGCAACCAAGAATACCATCAAAAATCGAGAAGTCCTCGGCCAAGAATGCCACGAAGACTCACAGCCGGTGATGAAACGACCGGCCAAGACTCTCGGAAGTAGAAGTCTCAAATGTATAGCCCTGCTGCAAGTGCGCCTGCTTTACTGGCATCTGAGACACTTGCTCAACATGTTTCAATATGTTTGTTCAGTGCTGAATGTGTTTTCGCACTGCGGCATGTAGGCCGCTGGGCGGCTGAGGAAACGAGGCATGGGCTGGCAAGAGTCATCCACGGGCGTGCTGGCCGCTTGCTTGCACGCACACACTGCTAGCAGCTTTGCGTTGCGCCGCTTAGCATGGAAGCTCTGCATCCAGGCCATTCTATAAAGCCCCGTGGGCTTCAGACTGGAGTGCGAGAGCAGGCGTTCTTGCGCCGTTGTAGTGTGTGAGCTGCGAGTGGTTCTTGACAGCAACAGGCTCACTTGCAGCGACACGTCTTGCTCCCGTTGGCCAGTCAAAGGTCTCCGGGCTGCAGCTGCCTACCTGTAGAAAGCGCGTGGTTTGCTGTCAGCCGAGAATTGTCTTGTTGTGGCAAGCCAGCAGGCCAGGCAATGGCAGCAGCATGTGAGCCAAATGCGTCTGTCGGATGTCATTGCTTCTTGAGGAAGTCAGCGCAGGCTCATGGCCAGATGAGTTGAAGCAGCAGTTGCGGCAAGCGTGGCCAAGAGAAGCGGCGAGTCTGCAGCCGCTGCAGCGCTACCCGCGCGAGGGCGCCAAAGCGTGAAGAACTTTGGCGCCTACATGACGCAGGCGGATCTCGACCAGCTCCGTCAGACTATCTCAGGTATGTCTAAGCTGGATGTTCTTTGCTCAAGAATGTAGCATGTTCAGGATCGGGTTGCAAGTTCCGTCTGAGCAAGCCAGCGGCCATGTGCTGGCGCGACTTGCTCACACACGGGCATGTTTTTTAGTTTTTTGCACGCCCGTGTCACATTTTTTAACTCACGATCAAACAACATTTTTGATGGTGAGCCAGCGCTGCCCAGGGTGGGCCAATCATGTGGCGTGGATGTTCAAAACGCCAAGCATGGCAACGACATGCTCAGGGATTTGAGGAAAGGCTTGAAGTCAAAAACGCGGAGGAATGAGCGTGATCCTGACGCGCTACACATTCTGGAGTACCCAGCCTTGCCAAGTGCCCTCAAGGACATCCTCGGGCCAGAGGCGTTCCAGGTCTGGCGGAGGAGCGCGTACGGCGACAATGACCAGCCGAGAAGTTCACCACGGAGCGTCTTCCAGAGCAAGTTGCTCTTCGGAAGAGCTCCCGTCTTCTTCGCCTCGCTGACGCGCTGCCAGCGCGCGAACCTTCCTCTTCCAGCAACAACCCCGCCACGCAGTGCGTGCAAGCGCTGGGCCAATTGTGCCAAGGTGACGCCCAAGGCAACCCCATGCTCCAGATGATGACTTGCTTTGCCCAGGTCACAGAGATGTAGGTGATTGCTGGTGCCTTAGTGAATCTCCAGGCCGTAGGCAAAGGTCTCCTGGGAGCAGGCATGGACAGGTTCGCCTTTGTGCTTGGAGCCCTTGTTGAACCAGAAGTTGTCCACGTCGGCCCGCATACCTTATTTTCCCTGTTTGAACTTGCCCTTGCCCTTGCCAAGGGCAAACTGCTGAGAGTGCACTTCCGCGAAGAAGGTGGACTTGCCGGAGGACTTGCCCTTGCCAGGATGATGCCGGTCGGGACAGGCTCGTTCAAAATGCTGGCCGCCACAGATGAGGCATCCTGACCCCGAATTTGATTTTGAACCGCCTTTGGCTGCACCGAAGCCTCGGTCACGACGAAGCATTTGAGTAGCTCTCTGGGCTTCGGTCCAGCTGCGATTGGCTTCCACGGCAAGCTGCTCGGCCGCACGTTCCGATTGCATGGCTTCCCGATTTTTCTCCTCCTCCTCAACGGACATGGCAGGGAGGAGCTGGTGCAGATTCTTCGGATTCATGCCATTGAGGCCAAGCTTCCGGCTCGGAGCCTGGCTGATGTCCTCGGCATTGTGGTGAGGTGATGCTTCCTGACTAGGGGAGGAGCCCGGCGCGGCTCCACTCTGCATCGATTCATCATGCGGGGGATGGATCTTGATCTTGAGTCTGCAGGGATTTCAGCGGTCTCCTCCCACCACTCATCCCAATCCTCCCAGCTTGAGGCATGTTCAGGTGTGGACTTTGGGATGCCAAAGTCCTGCTCCTTGATCGATGCTCACAGACTCCTCACGCAGCCTCCAGGGCTTCGACAAACTCCTCGTAGCCCAGGGTCTCACGGACCAAGAAATTGCTGATGCCCTCGTTGGGCAACCGCTTGAAGGAAAATACTGCTGCATGATGGCTGGAGCATTCGGCAGCGACTTTCGCACTAAAGGCGAGGCCGCCAGGCGTTGAAGAAGGCGAAGAACTCCTTCTTCATGATCAAAACTTGCCCTTGACCAAGACACAGCCAGGAGGCGGGCAGGTCCTTGCAGCCGTGAAATGAGCCTGGCTGCTAAGTACCTGCGCTTCCAGACTGGTGTCGACTGGGTACAGCAGGCCACTTCCTTGTAGTAGCGCCTCCAGGTCTTGGCTGGACCGTCCCAGCACGGGACGTGCTCATGCTTGGGCTCCATGATGTGCGATCCAGGGTGGCTTGCAGCCGTCGGCACCGGTGAGGGCGTCTTCAACGTCCCACATCGTGCCGTTGAGGTAGCTGTTCAAACTTGTTCAGGTAGTGGGTCACAGTGTCCCTGATCGAAAGATTCAGGTAGCTGCGCGCAAACTCCCAAAGCGGCTTCACTGCCTGGCGAGGCGTTTGGTGTCGGGCTCAAAGGATGGATCGAACTCTGCTCCGCTTGCAACGCGGCGACCTGACTTCCCAAGCGCACTCCTGCGCTGCACTTCCAGGCGTGCTGTCACGCCAAGATCAAAGGTCGCGAGCCATCACGAGGCTCTCAAGGCATCACAAGGGGACCTTGATTTGGGCCACATGTCACATGAGACGGCATCAACTGACTGGTGCACAAGTTGCAGAATCCCATGACTAAACATCGCCGGGGCCTCTGACAAGCGGTTGTGCTGCGTGTCTCGATCTTTGGCACGGACAACCATCTGAGCAGGGATGCCATGACCAGTGTCACGCATGGAATCAGCCCGCATCGAGAAGACATATTAGGAAAACGCTCCAGGATCAGTGTACTGCTACGGCAAGTGGGTCGGCAGCTTCAGCTACATGTTTGTTCTTGTCAGGTGGTTGCTCTCCTTTTTCTAGTTGGTTTTCAAGTTGCTTGCACTATCAAGGCGCGCTTCATCACATCTGCGACATGACAATCACGAGTGTTCTTTGCACCCAAAGGCCGCTGAGGTAGTGAGTTTCTCTTCAAACACTACGAGGGATATGTTTTGAAGATGGCGTAAAATGGACCCAGAGTTCTATACCACTTTGCTTGGTAAGCCCTCGATATATATATGAGCCACGGACAAAACACACGAAGACCACTTTATCAAGGCGGGGTACGTTTTTGCATAGCACATGCCAAAACCATGGAAAACGATAAGGTCTCCCCCAAAAACGATAACCCTTAGCTAACACTATAATAACCCCTGCAGTTGCAACTTAGTTAGGGTGGGACCCTTGCGTTGGCCACCGTAAAAAGAGAAGGCGAGTCGCCACTTTCGAGCTGGAGCTGCCAAGGTGTGCTTCGTAAATACGACACTTGTACTGAGAAGTCGCGATTTTCGAGCTGGAGCTACGGAAGTGTACTTCGCGTACTAGACTGGTACTATTATGTACTATTGTACTACAAAGTTGCGAGTTTCGAGCTGGAGATGCGGAAGTGTACTTCGCGTACTAGACTCGTACTACAAAGTTGCGATTTTCGAGCTGGAGCTGCGGAAGTGTACTTCGCGTACTAGACTTGTACTACAGAGTTGCGACTTTCGAGCTGGAGCTGCGGAAGTGTACTTCCCGTACCAGACTTGTACTACAAAGTTGCGATTTTCGAGCTGGAGCTGCGGAAGTGTACTTCGCGTACTAGACTTGTACTACAAAGTTGCGATTTTCGAGCTGGAGATGCGGAAGTGTACTTCGCGTACTAGACTCGTACCACAAAGTTGCGATTTTCGAGCTGGAGCTGCGGAAGTGTACTTCGCGTACTAGACTTGTACTACAATTTTGCGATTTTCGAGCTGGAGCTGCGGAAGTGTACTTCGCGCACTAGACTTGTACTAAAGTTGCGATTTTCGCTGCGGTAGTGTACTTCGGTGTACTTCGCGTACTAGACTTGTACTAAAGTTGCGATTTTTGAGCTGGAGCTGCTAAGTGTACTCTTCGCGTACTAGACTTGTATACCGACTTTCGAGCTGGAGCTGTGTGCGATAGACTGTTGCGACTTTCGAGCTGGAGCTGCGAAAGTGTACTTCCCGTACTAGACTTGTACTACAAAGTTGCGATTTTCGAGCTGGAGCTGCGGAAGTGTACTTCGTGTACCAGACTTGTACTACAGAGTTGCGACTTTCGAGCTGGAGCTGCGAAAGTGTACTTCCCGTACTAGGCTTGTACTACAAAGTTGGGATTTTCGAGCTGGAGCTGCGAAAGTGTACTTCGTGTACTAGACTTGTACTACAAAGTTGGGATTTTCGAGCTGGAGCTGCGGAAGTGTACTTCGCGTACTAGACTCGTACCACAAAGTTGCGATTTTCGAGCTGGAGCTGCGGAAGTGTACTTCGCGTACTAGACTTGTACTACAAAGTTGCGATTTTCGAGCTGGAGCTGCGGAAGTGTACTTCGCGCACTAGACTTGTACTACAAGTTGCGATTTTCGAGCTGGAGCTGCGGAAGTGTACTTCGCGTACTAGACTTGTACTACAAAGTTGCGATTTTCGAGCTGGAGCTGCGGAAGTGTACTTCGCGTACTAGACTTGTGCTACAAAGTTTCGATTTTTGAGCTGGAGCTGCGGAAGTGTACTTCGCGTACTAGACTTGTACTTGTACTGCAAAGTTGCGATTTTCGAGCTGGAGCTGCGGAAGTGTACTTCCCGTACTAGACTTGTACTACAAAGATGCGACTTTCGAGCTGGAGCTGCGGAAGTGTACTTCGCGTACTAGACTTGTACTACAAAGTTGCGACTTTCGAGCTGGAGCTGCGAAAGTGTACTTCCCGTACTAGACTTGTACTACAAAGTTGCGATTTTCGAGCTGGAGCTGCGGAAGTGTACTTCGTGTACTAGACTTGTACTACAGAGTGAAAGTGTACTTCCCGTACTAGACTTGTACTACAAAGTTTGGATTTTCGAGCTGGAGCTGCGAAAGTGTACTTCGTGTACTAGACTTGTACTACAAAGTTGGGATTTTCGAGCTGGAGCTGCGGAAGTGTACTTCGCGTACTAGACTTGCACTACAAAGTTGCGATTTTCGAGCTGGAGCTGCGGAAGTGTTCTTCGCGTACTAGACTTGTACTACAAAGTTGCGATTTTCGAGCTGGAGCTGCGGAAGTGTTCTTCGCGTACTAGACTTGTACTACAAAGATGCGACTTTCGAGCTGGAGCTGCGGAAGTGTACTTCGCGTACTAGACTTGTACTACAAAGATGCGACTTTCGAGCTGGAGCTGCGGAAGTGTACTTCCCGTACTAGACTTGTACTACAAAGTTGCGATTTTCGAGCCGCATTTGCCAAAGGTCGAAAACACTGTAAAACGATAAGGTCTCCCCCAAAAACGATAACGTTCAAAAAAGTACTAGGGCCAAGTAAAGTGTTTCGTCCGCTCCTCATATATATATATATATATATATATATATGTATACCTCTTTCACCACGTTGCTAGAGCCCAAAGTCAATGAGATTTGGGCATCTAAGGGGCAATTTGTACATTAGGCTTAACATTTTTTTCTGCACATGAAGCTTGAGATTAAGTTGCCTACCTGTGAATTCCGCTGAAGGTTTTTTTGGGCAATTTCACCCACATGAAGATGTGAACCAATTGTCCAGCTCCGTGGCCCCTCAAAATGACATCGGTGTTCCTCCTTTCCCCCAATAGAAGCACCCTAAGAATGGCGGTGTGCCTCTTGGTTTCTATTCAAACCACCCTAAATACGGGGTACTTCCTCTTGGTTTCCCTCTAAACCACCCCCCAAAAACCCAAAGTGTCCGGGTACTCCAATTGCTCCCGCCCGGCCATCGGCTCGAGCACCGAAGCGAAGCGAAGGCTGCGCGCGGTGCTGGCGGCGGCCCGGTTCTGCGACACCTTGGCGGAGGAGGGCCTCGACGGCCGCGCCGGGGTGGCCACGGGCACCGTGTGGTGCGGCGCCTCGGCGGAATCGAATTCGAAGGGAAGGCGACCTGGAGTCTTGAAAAATTGGGTTTCCTTCAAAATTCAGGGGTTATAACGGTTATGACCCCTTTTTCTAGAAGTCATGGAGACTCTAGGTACACCTGGCATTCCACGTTTTGGAGGGTGTCTGAGAAATGACCACATTCTGCAGGTCGGGTTTCCTTCCATTGCCAAGGGAAGGGGGGGTCGTCTCCAAAGCGGTGGTGTTCCCAGTGTTTTGAACATGGACCCCCCCCATTTGTTTAAAGGTTTTTGGCAAGGGAAGCCAAAAAGGGTGATGATTTGAGGTTTCACCTATGTCTTTGCTGGGTAGCCTTCTTGGGGTCGGTTTGAGGTTTGAAGCCAAATGGAACCGAAGACAGCCTTTTTTGAGGTCTCCATTTTAAGACACACCCATTTTCGGGGAAACTGAATGTGAACATCATCGAGTTTCGCGTCCTTTTTGTGGGCCAGTCTCAAAATGGACCCCTGTTGGTGGTTGAAAGGGGAAACCAAAGGAACCAGCTGGTCTTCAAATTCCTTCTTGGGTTTGTTTTAGCAAGTTCAGCACATATTTGTTTAAACGCAATCAAACAACCAATCTGTGCCAAATTGAACGACCAGACCCTGGTATCTCTTTAGCTGGAGGCAGGTTGAAATTCAGCTATGTTTAAGCTCCACCAGTGCCTGCCTTCTTCCGTCAATATTCAGATCTTTGACCACCCGAGAATACATAGCAAACAAGCGCAACATCAAATTATTTGCATCTTCTTCCGGCCTTTTGTTCAGCTACTCCCTTTGTCAGCTTCCCCATAGTTAGTGGTTTGGATTAATGGTTTGGTGATTAGGTGCGGTTGCCCATTTTACCTTCCACAACACAAGGGGTGCAAATCCCCTTACCACCAATCCGAGCCATCAATTGGAGGGAAGCTGCGTGGGACCCACTGAACCCTTTTCCCCGGTGTTGCAGTTTTACGTTGTGGGTTGATCCAAACATATGTTTGGGGCTTGGCACAAAACTGGGCCCCCCATTTCTCTTCGAGGTTGATTCCGTATTCAGTCCCCAAACCCAAAGAAAGGCGTTTTTGGGCTCATGTCCGATCGAGTAGATGGCAAATGCGCCCCCAAAATCCAAGCTTAATGCCACTGAACAAGTCCCGAAACATATTTCCAGAAACTCACGTGAGTTGTAGATGAAATGGACAATTCAACCGCAGGTTCTGACTTACTCGCTGGAATCAACATACAGTGGGTAGGGGTAAAACCGGTAAATCCACTTGAACCTGGTGCTTTTTCAGCACGGAGAGTCAGATTCCGCAACAGTGCCAATCGGTTTGTCGGGCTGAACCTCAAATTCTCGCCCTCGATGGTTTGTGGCTGCCAAATCCAGGGGTGCTTGTGGCTCTTGTTTAAACACTTGTAAACAGCCTCCCTTTATCTGGGCTGTTCGAATTGTTCGTGTTGGCCAATCAGATTTTCCACAATCCTCGCCTAACCCAAGGCAAGGATTGAGAATTGCCTTGAAACAGTATCACTTCCCAAGTGTGGATGTGTCGGTTACTTCTTGGGAAGACCATTTAAGCGGGAAGCATCAACTTTAGACTTTTGGAAAGGCCGGCGCAAACATTTGATTGCTCATTGAGTCTGGAAGAATGTAAATTCATATATATATATATATATCGAACTCTGGGGGTAGAATGAGCACCCATCATGAAGGTACCTTTGGGGCGGTCGGCTCACTATGGCACAGGGGGGACCTGAGCCCGTAAGAGGCCGGGCTTTTCTGGACCGTTGTATTTAGTGTTTCAGTTGTTCCAGTTTCCCTGCTTGCCAGCCAAAAGCGGTTGCTTTTGTTTGAATTAAATCATCCACCCCCTTAAACATTGAATTGGGGGAGCTTAATCATCCGCCACCCCCTTAGACATGGAATTGGGGGAGGGGGAGAAATCAAGGGCGAATTCAAGCCGAGGCTTTGACGTTCTAGGGGGTGTCCAAAAGGTTTGACCCCCTTAATTGGGGCAGGGTTCAGTTTTGCTCTTCTGTAGCGGGGAGGTGTGGGAAGCTCCGTGGGGCCCAGTTCGTTGAGGCTCCCAAAAAATTGCCCTTCCGACGATTCCATGGAAGCCACCATCCCTGCTGACCCCATGTGGGTTTTTCTCTTTCTAGGGGGGCACCCAAAATCGTGTTTTCTTTATGGTTTCCCGTTTAAAGCCAGCCAAAAGGGGGCTCCCCAAAAAAAACATCCCCCCTTTCGGTGGTTTAAAGGAAACCAACAATTTTCTCCGCTATTTTATTTTCTGGGGGTGCCCTAAAAACAGGTGTTTGCTGGCTACTTACGTTGTTTTCGCGATGGCAGAATGCCGCTGGACCGCGATAGTCTGTCTAGCTTCTGGCGAAGACTTTCCGAGCCAGGGCTTCATTTTGTGACCCCAAAGTGGACTTGACCCCAGTGCTTGTTTTTCCCCCAAAAAGGAAACCGGGTTTAGGCCTACAACGGGGTAGTCCAAAACTGGATCCCTGCCAGGCTGTAAGAAAAATGATCGAGAATCCCATGGTACCGTGACCAAAGGTGCGAATGGAACCATGGGAAACAACTTGTTGCTTTGCCGGTATTTACTTAGGGGAAGCGTTCATTCAAGGGTTTGTGAATGGTGGTGCGTGACATGGATTTCCCGTAAACCATCCACCGTATGTGTGCTTCTCACTCCCCGAGTTGTCACCTTTTTTAGGGGTTGGACTCCAATTTAGCGGCAAAAGACATGGATCTTGTTTTGGCCCAGGCACGGAAGTGAGCCTTTTGATCGCTTTGTGTGGTTAGACATAGATGGGTTCCACTGGTTTGGTCTGGTTTTATCCCAGTTCCCAGAGGGACACCCGTCTAGTTTCCCAAAAGGTCACGCGTATGGATCCGCTTCCTTCTGGGCAATTTAGTTCACGAGCTGACCTTGTGGGTGCGGAGCGTTATCATGAGCCCGAGTGTTGAATGTTCCTTGTATGGTTGTTGTTGGGAAACATTTTACATTTTGCTTATGGTGGTTGAGCAGGCAATCCTCACTTAACTGCTATTTTGGTTGTTTTGCTCCGCTTCTAACGTCAACCAAGCTTGCTTGGGGATTGCACAGTACAATTTGTGCATGTCATAATTTGCCTGGAACTGTTATTCGCAGGTAGGAAGGGTACAGAGATTGACCCTTTCGAGTGCGTCCTGTGCCTCACACCTTACATTCCAATGACTTGCTGTTTGTCAGTAGGAAATCAATTCCGGTGTTTTGATCCTCTTAAAGGAGCCACAAGCGATGGTTTTTGCCTGGGTCGTTCCATTTTCATCTTGCTGCCTATCGGTCCAGCAAGAAAAAAGGTGATTTACGATTCAAGGCCATGGGTCCCTCAGAAAAATATTTGCAGCGGAAAGCAACAAAGGGCTGAGGATTCATACTAACCCATGGGCGTCTCAAAATAGGGTGCCCCTTTTAAAAGGAATCCAACGGGAAAGCACCCACGTGGGTGGGGTCCACCTTCTCAACATTACTGGCTGGTTTTCAGCAGGGAATGAGGGAATGACTCCTATAACCATGCCCTATGGTTTCCTTTGAGGGAATCCCAAACCGGTTCATTCCAAAACCCGGACTCCTCTTTCCAGCAATCAAAGTGGACGTTCCGGGGCTTCAAAAGGCAAGCAGTCTTCCAAACTCTCGGAGCGTAATGTCTACCTCAGTGCTGACCAACGACACAGCTTTATTCAGGGGAGGTTTCTTAATCATAAATAGGCATTACTTCTTTTTTCCGGCAGGGAATGAGAAATGGAATGACCCTGACAAACCATCCAACTGGTGGTTTCCTTTATCCATTCGGGAATCCGAAACCGGTTCATTTCATTTCTTATTCCCGACCAGCATATCAGCACTCTGTAATTTCAGTAGTTCCCCTCTTTCCAACACTCGAAGTTCCCCTTGTAAATAAACCCAACCAATGGTTTCCCATGGTTTCAAAGTGGTGCAGGATTTCGTCCATCCACAGTATATAGACTAGGTCCCCCAGTGTGCCATTTTACCCTTTTTGGGGGAGGGTTCCCCTACTAAAGTAGACTACTGAAAAAAGGGTACCCTTATTCTATCCTCTCTACTGGAGGACCTAGTAGACATTATATAGTGAATTTCAGAAGTTCCCCTGTGGTTTTCAGCGGGAGCCTTCAAGGCACTGTGGGCAACACCACCCGCCGGGAGTACACGGTGCTGGGGGACACTGTGAACCTGCAGCCCGGCGCGGTGTGCAAGAAAGGTCCCTTTTGGCTCCCCTTTTGCTTTACTTGTTGTGGTTTCGTTTCTTGGTTTCTTTGGTTTCTTTTAGTTAGTTGGCTCCCCTGTTGTTTTTCTTCTTTGTTCTTTTGGTTTCCTTTGTTCAGGTGACCCCCCAAATGGGTAAATTGGATTGGTGGCTTGGGGAATTGAACCCTTTGCAAGGTTCGATTTTCTTGGTGGTTCCCAGCCCTCCGGTTCCAGAAAGGTGTTTGGATATTATTCGTTGGTTTAGTGAGATAGTTTCCATTTAACCCACTAGAAGTTATTCACTTTTAGCAGGGGATTGGAGCACGTCCCAGCTGTATTTTTCTTCTGTGTTCTTTTGGCTTAGCTCACCCAGGTGGCTTCTCGTTTGGCCCCCCTTTAAGCCAGTTCAACTCACGTGGTCCTTTCGATTTCTGCAGACCGTATTTTGGATCCAGGGGTTGGAGGGCAGCTTCCTCGTGACGGTGTTGCCAGAATGTGTTTGCAAGAGGGGAATGATATGCATGCCAATTTATAGCGGCTAGGCAATCTTACCAGGGTCAAAGGTTTTTGGGGTTCAAAAGGCCAATAACATCCTGTGATACAAGACGACGATATCCAGTTCTGTAGTCACGGCTGGTCTTTGGTGTGAGCCAATCGCCCCTTGGACCTGTTTGAACAAGTGAAGTGCAAAAGTTCGGGCCTTTTCTTTATAGCAACCCAGTATTTAGGTGTGTCTTAAAACGGTGATTTTTCTTTTGGTTTCCCTTTTCTTCCAACCCCAAAATGGGTATCGAGCCTCAAACAATTGCACGACCATTTGGGTGTGGCTCAAAATTAGACAGGAGGTGGAAGGAGGGGTTGCGCAGGTTTTGGTCCATCTTTCCACTTACCAGGGTTCCATTTTGGTACACAAATTCACATACATAAATAAATACACAAACGAATGAATGTATAAATATATATATATACATGCACATAGGGATACACATGCACATGCCAATGCGCTGGCAAACAAAGGAACATGGCCACAGCCTAGAGCCCTTCACGCCTGAATGGCCCCTAATACAGTGACTAATGGTTACTGTATGCTGCAATAGCTCCCATGCCTCTGCATCATTGCCTCCAAAGTAGACTACGCAGTTTTGATCTCCACCAAAGGGTCCCGTATATTGATTATGCATGTGTATACATATATATATATATACACATCTATGTTTATTTACATCAATCATATGTGTGTATAGACACACATATACACATACATATATATATATGTATATGTATAGGTATAAATATATATATATATATATATATATATATACTATGACAAACCCAAAACCAAGAGCGGACACGGCATGGGCTTTGGGCGCCGAGGTCTGCGCGCCTCATGGCGCGCACGGAGAGGAACACCGTGCTGGTGGACGGGGCGGCCCGGCGAGAGGGTCTTCTCGCGCGTGAGACGCGTACGGCGAGACGGGTGCGTCACTTTGGGCCAAAGTCGAAATGGTGGTTGCATGCTTGGTGGGGTACATCCTTGGTCAATGTTCAACCTTCAAGCCGAAACCGAGGTGTTCAAATTGGTCCTGCCATCATGATTTGGCCATGGGCTTTTCAAAATCCAAATCGTCCCCCCAGTGAACATCCCAATCCAACTACTAAAATAGGTTCTAAAGTGGGTGGTGAATTCACCTACCACAAAATGGTACCATTGGTTTTGACCCACAGCCAAATGGTGGGGGTTATATAACCACCTTTGTTTACCCAATGGTTTATTTTTTGCTGAAATTGAATCAACCATTCTTGAATTTGGGGTTGAACCCTGTGAAAAAACGGTTCCTTCAGGTGGGATGAGATACTTGCTCAAACCCGATTCGGGTAGATGAAGGTCAACCATAAACGGGTGCCTTTGCCACCCGTTGTGATTCTGTACATGGTTCTGGGTGGATTATTTCAATACCGATCGGTTTTGATTATGACAACTGTTGATGTTTAAGGGGCACATATGCTGATCGACCCATAGGTGTCATTTTAGGTGTGGGTTGAAAACAGATTGATTCCACTACTCGTAAATCGGATTGTTGGAAGGCTTGGGGCATCGATCTTTCACAACTCGTTCACGCGGTTCCGACTCCAAGTCGTTCCGGCTCGCGATTTTTTCGCCCATGAAGGTCCCACACTGGGGACACCATTTTTTTCCCAGGTTGTGAGTTTCATAGGTTGCGAATGGGAACTCGCCATGCTTCGGCCATGGGTTCCTTGAAAGGTCTAAAGCACCGGCTTCGCGGGATCCGAGTTTGGGCCCGAGGCCAGCTTCAGATCCTGCAAGCCACCTGGCGAGGCGGTTGTGTGTGTGTGTTGTTTTTGGCCAGTTGCCCCGTGGATGCCGCGGTGTTTAATTGTTTTTGTTTGTTTTTTTTTGTGGGGAAGGGTTCCCTTGTGTTTCTTTTTTTTTGCGATTTTGTTTGTGGGGAAGGGTTCCTTTAAGCCCTAAACCAACCAGAAAAAAGGATGCCGATCCTTTTTTCCCCCGGAAATCCACTGGGCATCTGAGTTTAAGCCATGTGAGCAGACCTGGTCGGGCATGCTAACTGATTGTTGCTCACTATAGTGAATCCTGAACATGAACCACCAAAATTATATAGGTGGTGGCAACTTAAGGGCGATGGGGAAAGCCAAAAAAGCCGCAAAACAGAACCTGGGTAAAGGGAGTAAGAGACACTCCGCGTAGGTGCGTCGTTATTCTTTGATGTTTGGTGCACTAGTACTGATCGTGACTCAACAGGAAACCACCAAATTAACAAGTGTTTGGTTCTGTTTTCTTGGTGCCACTGAATAATTGGGTTGAGTACTACTCTAAAAGTGACCATCTCAACATGATGGATTTCCCCCTTAAGATAGATGGATGCTTCCCTGCTTGCCTCTAGTCCCAAAATGTGATAGGTAGATGGTTGCCTTATTCTTTTTTTCCAACAATCATGGAAGTGGACAGCTTTGGCCTTTGTAAGCGAACCGTAGTCTTTCGAATTCCACAAATAGTGTAGCAAAGAATCAGACGCTTCCTCGACACGCGGTGGTTTTCAACCTGCGTTTGGATCGGGAACCTCAGTTAGGGCTGTCTTGGAGATCGCTGTCTCCGTCTCAAGCAAATGCTGGGAGGCGTCTTTCGCCTTTCTAGACTCAACAACCCATTTCATTTGACAACAATTGGAGAAATCTGATCAAAACTTATCTACATCATTTCAAAAAAGAACTGAAAGTGTTCGGCGACGTTTGGTTCGCGTGCAAACAAGGGCCAGTCCGCTGTTGACACTTTGGTTTCCCTTTTTCAGGGACGCCAGGCGACATATATATATATATATATATATATATCCAGGTATCCCCAGCAGCTGCCCATGTATACAGCTCCTCCACCCCTCCCAATGCGGGCCTTTCGACCCCCATAGCTTTCAGCTGTCCCCATAGGTTGTTCGGGAATACATCCCTTCAGCCAAGCATCGGTTGTGCTTCCGGTGTTGTTTTCTAGCGGTTAAGGGAATTCTGGGGCCCTGCAAGCCAAGCGCCGCGCGTGGGTTCTGCCGAGGAGCACCTTGGCCTTTGAGAACCTCGGAGCCATCAAGGTGAAAGGCCATGAGAAGGTTCTCCGAGCTAGGGAAACCAAATGGGGTGTGTCTTTTTTGTGACGGTACCGGGTAATTACCCTCAAAAACAAGACACCCCCCATTTCATTTGCCTTCCATCTCGGACAGGGTACTCCTCGTTTGGGGAAAACCACCATTTTGATCCAGTTTGGGAGTCCGCCGCCAAAAAAAAACAAACCTCAAATTGCGGTGTCAGTTTGATTGGTTTGGTCAGAAGAAATGGGTTCGGCTGGTTTGGATTGGTTTTATAACCATTTTACCAGGCAAACCAGTCCATGGACCTTCATGATTTGGTGTGTGTGTGTGTGCGCGTGTGTGTGCGTGTGTGCGTGTGTGCGTGTGTGCGTGTGTGCGTGTGTGCGTGTGTGCGTGTGTGCGTGTGTGCGTGTGTGAGCGTGTGTGCGTGTGTGCGTGTGTGCGTGTGTGCGTGTGTGCGTGTGTGCGTGTGTGCGTGTGTGCGTGTGTGCGTGTGCGCGTGTGCGCGTGTGCGTGCGCTGCGCGTGCGCTTGCGCGTGCGCGTGCGCGTGCGCGTGCGCGTGCGCTTGCGCGTGCGTGCGCGTGCGCGTGCGCGTGTGTGTGCGTGTGCGTGTGTGCGTGTGTGCGTGTGTGCGTGTGCGTGTGCGTGTGCGTGTGTTTGTTTGTTTGTTTGTTTGTTTGTTTGTTTGGTTTGTTTGGTTTGTTTGTTTGTCTGTTTGTCTGTTTGTCTGTTTGTCTGTTTGTTAGTTTGTTCGTTTGTTTGTTTTAGAGGGTCCCCTGAAAAAGAAGACGCCCAATGGAAGGAAGCCGCCTAGTTTTCAGGGGACCCCTATTTTTAGAAGCACCCAAATGAGAGAAACACTTGTGCAGGCAAGGAGAACGTTTCTTGTCGAGAGAATTGAGGAAGCGCACAGTTGCAGGATCTGTTCTCAAGGGGCTTTTTTTTTTGAAAAGCACATGCGGGGATCTATTTCTTGGAAGCGCCTAAAGCCAACACATGCCGGGGTGGGGATTGCAGAGGTTCGCTTGATTGCCAAGTGCTTGGGCTGCACTTGGCGGGTTGGATAGACCAGTGATCCATTCGCGTGGTTTGGGTTGGGGATCCAGGCCTGGAAAGTATTTTGATCCAAAGCTTCAGCAAGTCACCGAAGGGACTCAGTCTCCACTACCGTTTGTTGTGTGTTTTTTTTGGTGGGGGAGCCTGGTTTGTTCCCTTATGTCTCATGCTGCCATCGGGCTGTAAAGGTTTTTCTAAGACTCTGTTTAAAGATGCTCCCATCCATCCGGGCTATCAGCAATGGAACATGTAAATCGTTTGGTTGTTCAATCCTGAGATTGGGGATTCCCATTTAGCTGGGATGCCGGAACATGCTCGGTTTGGGGGTTGCTTTGACAGCCGCGGGCTCTCGTGCACATATCTCAAGCCAGTTTGAACAGCACTTTACGGGCCAATTGGGGCAGAGCTTCCTGTTGGTGGGGTGATGTTTTAACGCAGGAAATATAGGGCACAAGCTGGGTGTGTTTGTTTAGTCGCACCGAGTTGCAGTCTGAAGCAGGCAAAAAGGACCAAGTGGAGGTCTATCGCTTCACAGGACGGGATCATTTTTGATGTTGCTGATGTTTCTCGGCAGATGGGCTAACATTAGTTTTCCTGTTGGGCTCGGTTGGATGGCTCTTGAACTGCTTAGTGGCAGCGTTTCAGGTTATGTGTCAACATGGGAGGATTTTGCCACCTCCCCCCCCCACCAAAAACGCAACTTACTGTTTGTTACCCTTTGAAACAAAGTGACAAGGGTAGCCTCAAGAACAAAACACACACACACAGGCGTGTTAGACGTCTAGAGTTTTCAATGCGGTTCGCGACTGTGTGGCTCATGGAAGCCATCCATAGAGTCGAGGAATACGGGGAGGGGGGGCCCCCTTCCCGGTGGCAACGCTCTTTCCAAGCTTCAGTTTGCAAACTTCAGACGCATTGAAGAGACAGGAGCTGCCAAACTGCCAAATGAGAGGATTGAGGCGGGCTTGCTTTCTGCACACTCTACAAAGCGCATCCTTTAGCATCGGCAACATACAATGTGCAGACTCAACACGCCACCCGATGGCCATCTAACATGAACGCCTGATCGAAAACGTTACCCTCTGTCCAACAATCATGGAAGTGCGCAGGAGGGTGTTGTTAAGTCTAACATCCTCTTGAAGAATGCCCCTTATCCATTTCCATGTTTTGAAAAGGGGCAGCTAAAAGCAGTCACTCATGTTCCTTTTCTGGCACTGGCGGAACGTCCTGTGGCTCACTGAGGACTGTTGGCGAAGTCACGAGTTCGTTGTGTCTCGAAAAATGTAGTATTTCTCCCAGCATTCAATGGAGAGAAGGGGGTGTGCCACCGACATCGAAAAGTGTGAAATTCCACGAAACGGCACGACGCACTTCCAGCCAAAACGGCTTCGAAAGGACAACCCTTGGATACAGGACGCTGAGGCCTTGTTCCCACAGTCAAAAGCTCAGAGGTGTCCAAAGCTTAGCCCGGGCCCTTGATGTTGTGTTTGTTGGTTTGGACCATCCAACGGTCATCAAACGACCCCCAAGACGCCATTTGACAGAGTCGGGGAGTTCTGGGGCAGGTTTCCGGAAACGCAGTGCTCCGTGGCGTCCTTTTGATCTGCCAAATTACCCCCCCATCAGATCAAAAACAGGTTTCCGAATGCTTCCCCATGTGGCTTCAAAGAGCGAGTTTAGCCTTTTGGCTTACCTCTTAAAAACTCAACTTTTTCAAATTTTTGGGGGTAACATGGGCTATATGTCTGTAAAAGGTTAACTTCCCCAGGGCTTGGAGTTTTAAGGGGTAAGTTGGAGCTACTAGGGCTTCTGTAAGGACATGGTATCCATGGTCAAATCTGCAACGAATCAAGGCCCCATCCAAGCGCAGGGGACCCGTTCAAGGGGTGTGTTTTGTTTGAAAAAAAAGAGCAAATTGCACAGCGGTTTAACCCTGTTGGGTTTTCCTGGACCCTCAAGCAACTACCCTTCAAAATTATCACGAAAGCTAGCTTTAGCTAGCTGAAGTTTCTCCTTGCGTAAGCAAGGTAAGGGGCTCAAATGCCGAAAGATTGATTTTTTCAATTATTTGAGCCGAAAAGATTGAAAAACATCAATTATTTAGACCCCCCCCCCCTCCCCCCCCCCCGGGTCTCAGGCTCGATTCCTCCCTGGTCCATCCCCCCCCCCCCGGGCAGTGGCTCAGTGTTCAGCAGTCTCGGTTTGCCCGTTTTGGACTTGGTGCTACGAACTTTTACATGTTCCACCGATTCAGCTTGTTCATTTGAGACCTCAGTCTTCTCGGTAAACCACCTCGCAAGAATCTTTGCACACGCAGCATGCAGAACCCAGAGGTGCTTTCAGACAGCTTCTGACGCCTCTCGTTGTTTTCATTTTTCAAGGTTTGCCACGCCACCATGTGCGTTTGCGTGTCGCATCTTACGAATCTTGCCGGGCCTCTCGTTGTACACAAGCTACCTATGAATCCACTCTGTCACCGACCCATCTCATGCAACAACTGCTAGCTTTCGTTCACCCGCTCCTCAAGTGGGGTGAGAACCCATTTTCAGGGGTAGTGCGAGGGTCTATGTCCATTTAAAACCACCAAGAGAGGGGGTGCCCTCAAAAAGACGAGCCCCAAAACGGGTTGTCAGCTACCAAAGGAATCACCATTCACAATTCGCCAAAGAGGACAGCTGCTTCCGCGGCGAGACCGGGAGCGGAAAGGCTCGGGGGGGGGGTGGAGGGTGGGTGTGGACATGTGGCCATGGGTCAAAATCCCGTACCTTCAGTGAACATCCCAATCCCCACTTACACAGACTAAAATGGGTGGTGCACCTACCCCAAAATGGTTGACCCACAGCCATGTGGGTCTTTTAAAGGGGCCGCCTTTTTTGAGGGTACCCCTCTTTGTTTGTTTTTTTGCAGGGCATCCCCAAAGAAAAGACACTCTCACCTTTAAACCAACCTGAGAAGGGTACAAATGTTGTCGTGAATTAGTCTTTCATGTGTACTTCTTTTTTATTTTGAAGTTCATTTCACTTCAAAGAACATGTTTCCCAACGAAAGCTCCAAATTATTCGCACAAATAAAGGATCGGACAAACACATTATTCTTCCTTTTCCCTTTTCTCTTTGTTATATTTTTCTTCTAATCTGTTTTCAAGCTGAACGGGATGAAGCGGTGAACGCCATCGTGGACAAGTTGTGGTTGGACCCCGATAGCGACTTAGAATGTTTGTTCGGGTAGCGAGAGCACGTGTGAAATCTAAAAGTGACCTTCGCAAACATCACCCAGCAATGTTCACTGGGGCTACGGGCTTTTGACCCATGGCCATGTGTGTGTATTTGCGTGGGCCTGCATTATAGATGTATACTTCGGTCAGGCCCAAGTTTATGCTTCACCCAGCGAAGAAGTACAAGGATCACACAATCACAACGAGCTGGACCTGCCTCTTTGGGCTAGGTGCAGGGCATCCTGCTGATAGGAGCTTGGACTGTGGCTGGTTTCGCTTGATTGAATGCAGCAGCCCAATGTATAAACCGTTCTATTCTAGGTCTGTCTCAATTGGAAGATCAGATTTAGGTATGGCGACTGTCCGTGCCCCTTTGAGATTCGGCCAGTATATCCAGTTGTCTTTAGTCTCCATTTGGGATGGGTCCCTGGGGGGGAGCTTCACGACATTTCCTGGAAAAAGCAGATGGGGAACGCACAAAAAAATCCGCCCAACCCATGGAGACTCACGACTTTCCCATGTCAGATGGCTCATTTCACTTCGGCGCCGCGAAGCGCAGGTCTGCAGACCTCTCTCCTCTCTTGGGAAGAGTGGCCCGCCCGCGAGGACTCGGTTGGGTCACAGAACCAGCGGTGCACATCCCAAAGCCTTAGGGTTCCTTGGCGGTTCCCAGCCATCCAGTTCAACTATGCTTGAAGCTTTTTGGTGAGTGGTTGGATTTCCATGGACAACCCACTAAAAGTTAGTCACTTTTAGCGGGGGATCTGAGGACAGCCCAGGTTCAACGCCCATAAACAGAAAGGCGCAAGGGGACCCAATTTGGAGGATGACAATCCTGAGCGGTAAACAATGGTTATGAATTAAGAACCCCACCATGGTTTTCATGGAAACTGAACCCCAGTTCTTAAGAATTAAGAAATATGGGTTTTCCAGGCCCCTCCATCTTTCAAACAGGCAGGACATTCTCCAGGAGATCCTTGGAGCTGGTTGCTATGACTCCAGGGCTCGGGGGTGGCCGTTTGAAGGCCCTTGTGGGTGAAATGCGGAGGTATGATCCCGAAAATGCTATAAAATACGACATGTTACTGGCCCGGACCAAAAACGAAAAAGGAGCCAAAAAAGATAACAATTCCGAAAATCAAGTCCCAAAATAAATCCGCACCCGGTATGATCCCGGAAAGGGCACTTCTGGTGGGCAGCCAAAGGCACACCAAGCAGTAAGGCGTGCAAAGGCTCGATTGTGGGCATGTTTTGAACTCGGGACCCGCTCAATGTCGGCTGCACACCAGTTTTCCGTGACAACTCTTGCCTTGCTGGGGTCCTTCATTTTGGGGAATAACGTAGCCTTGGAATGTTCATAGCTTTAAGCACCAACCAAAAGTGGTTGGTTTCCTTTTCATCCCCAAATTTTGATGTCCACCATTTCGGGTCCGTTAAAAACCATCAAGGCTTGGTGTCTGACTTGCCATCTCCCAAAACCCCAAAGGCGAGGTAAGGGCAAGGCTCCCTGAGGCGTACGAAGGGGGTACCTGTCTAAGGGGGTTACGCAGAATTTCTCTTGACCGGTGGTTGGAGACAACAAAGGCAGTTGCTGTCGCTTTCTGGAGCATCTGGGACTTCGGTTTTCTTTTGGTTGAAACGGTACCTCACCCTTACCTACATGGAAGGAATCGTGTCGTTGTGTTCAAGTCCAACACATGATTTTTGTCTCGGGCAACCTTTAGCTGGTTTGGATTGGTGGCTGGCTTTGAACCCCTGGTTGAGGTGGAAAACCTTCCCAGAACACAAACCCAAACTTTTTCGAGGGTGCCCATTTTGGAAACCAAGAGGAAAACCGTTGCGCTATGTTGGCGATCCCCCAAACTAGGTCCCCCAGTGGTGCCCTTTCTCTCCCCTTTTTTGGTTGGGAGAGTTCCCCTACTAAAATAGATGACAGAAAAAAACATCGGGTGCCCTTATTCGAACATCTCTACTGGAGGACCTAGAAAAGGACAGCTCCAACCCTGTTCGAGCCTGTCAGGAGCTGATTGCTGCCCTAGACCTGCAGCTGCAGAACTCAGGACGGAGCCACTTGCGAGCGCCGCATTTTGCGAAGGGAGGCGCCAACATCGGACTCCCAATGGGTACTGTGGATGGTGGCGAAAGCCATTTCGCACCACGAAATGAAACCGTGGTTGAACCCATTGTTTGTGGGAATTGCAGGGAAATCATCATTCCAGGCTTTTAGGTGGTGCAGGATTTCGTCCATCCAAAGTAGCCTGGCTCTCACGATCTCTCCCTCCATTCCACTTTTCACTAGCTAATTGGGACGAAGGGAGCTGGGACCCGATATTTTCAAATTTGCTCAAGCGGGAGAACTCCTTTCAGAGCTGATCGGAGTTCCGGTTAGGGACATGGTAGTTCAACAATGGAAGTGGACAGAGGTCTTCCACGATCCTTGGGAGGGGTATACCTTGGAGCAGATGTTCGAGGGAAGCGAGGTCTTGTTTGAATCGAACAGCCAAAGACAATTGGGGACCCCTGGCCTTAATGGGGACACCAAAAGCAAAGAGCCAATCGAACATTTTTGCAACCCCATGTCAAGGATTCTGTTTTAAACAGGTCGATTTTGGTTGTTTTGACAAAGTCTACGGACCACCCAGGCGTCCGCTATGTAACCATGTGCGCATCAACACGTCTCTTGTTGGAAGCTGACTTGATGGGAATGGCTCCCTTTCGTCCAAGCAACACGACGCGATTTCAGCCAACGAAAGCTACTGCCAGTGGATGTCAATGGATGCGTGAAGATACATGGTGTTCTTTATTTGTGCTGGTGATTCCATTTCCCGTTGTAGGCCACCAAGAGAGCGACTCTTATAAAACCACAAGGACAATGGATCGAAGGCCCAAGGTTCGGTTCAACCCTTAAAAGGACGATGACTATCCTTAGGTAAAGTATGGTGGTTATGTGAACCCAGCAATGTTGTTTATGTTGGTAACTGAAGCCCGGGGAAGAGTGAAGCTTGACTTAGTATTAGTAATCCTGTCCCCCCAAATCTTGTCCCCCCAAAACCTTTTGACCTTCGGGGGGGGGAGTACTAATACGGGGTCAACATTACCAACCCTTTTAGGGCTATCTGAAAGCACATGTTGGACCCGTGAGCCATTGGCTGGGGACCCCGGATGAAATGAATCCGATCCTCACGCGAGCGAGCCTCACGGCGTTGTGGGGCTCATCGATTTTGTCGGGGGGTAGACGAAGTATGACACAGGCGCCGTGTTCTCTCAGGCAACCCAAATTTTAGTGTGGACTCTGAAACGACCCCACAATGCGAGTGAGCCGCATGGGGAATTAGCTGTGCGAAGAACAAGTGTAGACAGTGTCCAGTTTGTGGAATGATTAAACTCCGCAAGGGAGTGGTCATTCAGTGACTCAAACTACTGGGCAACACATCCTTGCAGACGTGACTCGAGTCCTCGTTATGAAATCAGTGTATATTATAATATCGCAGTTTGCCCAAGTAGTTGTCTCGCACGTACTAGCAATTGCCCAGAACTATAAAACTTGCCCAAACATCTTTGCCCAGAAATATTATAAGTTGCTCAGACACATTGCCAATCGCACAGAGATATTGCAATTTGCCCTAGTGTTTGTAGTGTGTGTTTGCCTATAGCCAGCTCACCGTTCAGTACAAGGAGCTATGTAGAATCCTTATTTCAGGTCTTGGAATCGTGACATTTTGCGGATGGTGTTTCTGTTTGCCGTTTTTGTTGCCTGCTCCGAAAGGGCGGTTTTGGCTGTCTCTTTTTGAACACCCAAAATATTGATTGACGGAGTTTGGATGATGACAATCTTAGTTCAAAAATGGTTATGTGAACCCAAGCATTATTTCAGGGGTTCTTTCCGAGCCCCAGGGAAGGGTTCCCCCTCTCCCTCCCAGGCCCCAAGAAATGTCCAGTTGGTTTCATCAAAAGGATGATATGAACCCAACCTCTTTGTTAATGGTAGCTGAACCCCAGGCAAGAGTTACCAACCTTTTGGAGCGATCCACTGAAAGAACATGTTGGACCGTAAGTGAGCCATTGGCTGGTAACTGAGGCTAGTGCCAAACACCTTCCAACATCTTGTCCTTCCAAATCCCCCCCCCCCCAACCTTCAATCTTGTCCTTCCAAAAGTCCCCCAAAAAATATTGTCCCCCCAAAAAACCTTCTGACCTTCAAGGGAATTTCCTTTGTTTCCTTTCCCCGAACCCGCCTCGTCTCCTTTGCTTCTTGTGGCTCGGTTTTTTGGTCGTCGCGGCAGGAGGCCTCGTGGTGGTGCACGGCGGCCCGGGCTGCGGCAAGACGGAGCTGGCGGCGCACGTGCGCGCCTGGGCGCTGGAGCAAAACCTGGCGGTGCTCTCAGGCGGGAACGAGGAAGGATTTCCTGTTGACCCCAGGTGAACTTCAACCAACAAGTTTTTAGGGGGGGGGTTGTTTGGGTGAAATGTGGTGAATGGGGGGCAGCAACTGGGATTCCCTTAACCCAGGTGCCCAGTGGTGCGACCATTGTGTGTTTCTTTCCCAATTGGGTTCCGATTCTCGTAACGTTCAGCAATCAAAAAAGGATGCCGTATGATGCCGTTTTCCCATAAAACATCCACTGGGTATCTGAGCAAATGTTGACCCCATATGAATCATATGAATCAACCAACCAGTGTGGAGGGGTTTGTCCATGGGTGAAATGTGGGAAATCAGACCACTTCATAGCATCTCCTCAAAATGTGTTGGTTTTTCCGAGTATTCTACACTCAAACCGTCTATGGAACTGCGCAGATGGGTTTCCTACTGTGGATGGTTCCGAAATCCGTTTGCACCAAATGACACCATGGTTGAAGCCATTGTTTGTGTTTGCGGGAATCATCATTCCAGGGTTTCTTAGGTGGTGCAGGATTTCGTCCATCCGCAGTATGTTTGTGGTCACTTCGTAATCCTTGGTCTTCCGAGGACCTGCAAAAATCGGGCCCTTTTTGATTTTACTCTTGGTTGAAGAAACAGAGTTAGCCAAAGGCCTGCTTTTTCAGGGTTCTGGAAGGTCGAGGAATGTGTATACAGATGTATATATATATAGAGATGTATACTGTATACACAATATCAGTCTGTATAGATTCCCAATTAAAATGATGGTTTGAACCTTCGACATATCTTCCAGCAACATTGAAAGAGCTACTCCGGACAACCACAAGCCTAGGTCACATTTTCTGGTTAACGAAATATGACGGAGAGTTGGACCAAGATCCCATGATTTAAGGACCCTTTTGTTTGGGGTTTCTAGGGATGGTGTAGGGAATCAGGGTTCCATTTTGTGAGTGGGAATCAAGTCTGTTGTTGGTAAGCCCCAGCTTGAGAGGGGCTTCCTTGGTGGCATTTGAGTTGTCAAAATGGAAGCCCTTTAATGCGCACCCGCCGAGAAGACTCACGGAGGTGTTCCCATGGCTTGCACATCACGCACCGCCCTTTGCTTTGCTTTTAAAACAAGTATTCCCCTTAAGCCACGAGGTGTTTAAAGTGCACGCAACCTTTATGTCGATGTAGTTTCCCTGCAAGAGGTGCATGGTCTATCTGCCCTATACTTGTTTCGCCAATGACAACCTGGGAGTGACCCAACATTCAAAGACGGGTTCCCAATGCTCCCATTTGAGGCCTGGCCACGGTGGTTCTACAAACGGTACGTGGGTCATAGTGATGGACCCAGGTTGGATCTTCTTGAGTCGAGGCTGCCGAACCCAAATGCCCCCGAATCCGAACCGAACCGAAGGTCCAAAGCTTTGGACCAGTTTCCTCTTACATGGGAACCCCATTGCATGGGCTCGAGGCATTCCCAACCAGATGTTTTGCTCAATCGCGCCGAGAGGTGGTTTTTGTCTGGTTTCGAAGGTTTAGTTGAAAGGCAAGACCAACCTTCATCATGGCTCCGTTTCGGAGAATCTGTGGATTTAGCGGTTTCAGGAAACCCGTGGATGGAGGAGCTCTGGAATTCAGAAGCCAGTCATTCGGCTTCATCCGGATTCGGTCCGACAGGGAGCCCGCGCAACGTAGGGCTAAGGTGAAGTTTGATTAAATTGACTTGGATAATCCAGTGGGTTCCAAGTATCGAAACCCTTCCTGTCAGATCGCTTCTTGACGTCCGCCACGAAGCAACATATATATATATATATATTTGTGTTTTCATATACATATATGTACACATTTATAGATGAGTTGCCACAAACATGTTTCCGCTTTGGGGACCCTTTTGTGCCTGCCTGCCGCCTTCTGGAGGGAGTCCCCTCCCATCCCCAAAATGCCCCGCCCAACATGCCGCCTGTCGGTTTTGGACCCTTTTTGGGGATGGTTCAAAGCTGGGTTAACCAAAAGGAGAACCCGTTTTTCGCCATTTTGGAGGCGTCCAGCCCTAAAAAAGGAGCGCCGCCTATGCAGATGCCTTGAGTTCTCAGACCAGATTGAACTTTCGGGGCGTATCCGATCCATGAAACCGTCTCCCGGAGAAAAAACAAAATGGCGGTGTTCCGTTGGTTTTCCTTTGAACCATCCATATTTCCCTTTAGTTTCCCTTTGGTTTCCCTTTGGTTTCCCTTTGGTTTCCCTTTGGTTTCCCTTTGGTTTCCCTAAAAAGGATACCATCAAAAAAAAAACGCAGCCAACCTGGCCCTGGCCGCTTGCTTGGTGCCCGGAACCACCCCCTCCCCCCCCCCCTAAAGCGCATGGGGCGCATCGGTTCGGAGGTCAGAACCAGAGCCCCACCGGCACGCTCTCCGTGCCGCGCCTTTGCTGGCAGGAGGCCAGTGAACTTGTTCCAAGGGGAGCATTTGTCGCAAAGGAATGGTTCGATTTGGGTAACATGGGTTGCAAGATGTTGCAAGGGTGGTGGTCATTGGCGTTTATTGGTTTGCATTGGTGCTTGGCGGCCCTTAACGGGGGATCGCGCTAACGGGGTCTGGACCGGGCAGTTTTGGGCAGTTTTGGGCGGCAACCGCGCCACATGCTAAGCCCTGGGTTTGAGCACTCGCAAAGCCAGACTGGGAGCAGGTTGGGGTCGCTTGCGGTCATTCAGGTTTCTTCAGATCGTGACCACCGATGTAGCACTCCCAGACTAGATTAGGGGTCGCTTGTGGTCATCCAGGGTTTCTTCAAAACATGGGCCATGCGAGCAGCGGGTGGCCAGCGAAAACACTAAGTATGCAGAGGCAAAACCTCCTCACAAGCAGGCCAAAAAACAAGTTCCTGTCTTGCAGCTGTCTTGCGTTAAACTGAATGCCTGCAAGAAGCGCCCACCTTGCAATGCTTTCAAGATAACACCTGGTGGGCCTAAAATAATGCATTCCTTGCTTGTTGCTTGTAACTAGAAACGAAAGCTTGCAATGGTCACACACACAAAGCGAATGTTGGCAACCCCCGCCTGGAAAAGTTGAGCCGTCAAACTTCCAGTGGCCACACAAGCCAAGAGCATCGCGTCTGGGGGGGTTAAAAAGGAGGCTGAAGCGCGTTTTTTTTTTCTCCGGAATTTGCGATGCGAAAAGGAACGCCTGTGCTGGAAAAACACAATGTCTGGGAGCCTGAAAGCAGGTATTGAGATGCCGAAGATTGCCCCAACAACACCAAACACGCCTACTGCCCCAAAGCAGCTGCGTGAGCCCAACTTTTTGCCGGGATTTGCACCGTTCATCGTCGGAGTTCTATGTGCATCCCTTCACTGTCCGATGATTCAGGCACTTGCTCATCGAGAAGGTCGCGCTAGCCATGGGACTGACACTCTCGCAGAATCTTGTCTCGCGAAGCCGAATAGCAGTCAATGACCTCAGACCCGGCGGCAAAGTGCTTGAAGCTAAAGGTTGCTTGCTTTTCAAATGGCGGTCGGCCCCTTGCAACTTGCGGGCGAACTAAACTATATGGGCAAGAAGAGCCCAGCGTGCAAATAATTGCAGGCAACAGTTGGTCATGGGAAACCACATGTGAATTGAACACATCTCAGGCCAGCAGTGATTCCGCGGAGTGCCCCGCTACGGACGAAGATTTGCCAAACACTGCCTAAGTCAGGGTGTCCGTGGGTGCCAAACGACGACAAGCGACGAGTGCCGCGACACTGACAGTCTGAAGAACGCACTTGGGACAAAATCAGACACATCTCGATGGAAGCCTGGCGGAGTTGAAAAACTTGCTGAATCGAAAACACAAACGGTGTGGGCAACATGACAAATGGAAGTAACTGTTGAGAACTGGGGTGAAGGAACGATGCAGAACAGCGCGACAATAAAATGGCGGTGACGGCCCCACAGCAGCATACAGCAGCTCACCATCTCTAGGTGGCACTTTACTTACTGGTCGGTAAGCTAAGCTAAGTAACGCGCGAAATTGGTTGGCTGGCTAGCTAGCTACTTCTATCTACCAAGCCAGAACGCGACTCGCGACCGAGCAAGTTTGCACCTCCATCAAGCCAATTGGCAACTGACCAACTCGCTAGCTGGTGCAGAATCTAGAGCTGCTCGCTGCCTGACTGGATAAGGAAAAATCAAGCTGCCAAGCAGCAGTGCGGCGACTCAGCCTGCTAAGATGCAGTTCAGAATTGCTCAGGGCTCAGGTTCCTTTGATTCAAAGAACGTTCAAAGAAGCGTTAAAAGACAATCAGGTCACCAGGCATGGTGTTCCGTGTTTTTCACAAAGATTCAAAGGCCCCGTCCCTTCAAGTGTTTCTTTGCGGGCCTTGCCTTTTCATATGACCGCCCAGCAGGCGATGCTCTGTATTTGAAAATAGCGCTTCGCATTAGACAGGGGCCCCGGCTTGGGTGGGGTTCCAGGCGTTCTTTTCAACCATCGAAAAGGAACACGCCGTTTTGAGGCACAGTCAGGCTGTGAATTGGCAGAGGAAATCTACCCAACACATGCTTGTGTGCGAGAAAGCGGCCCTTGTAAACTCCACAGTGATCAAAAGTGTGGAGCGCTGTCGTGTTCCTTTATTGGAGTCGCTCTGCCAGAGAAAGGAACGCCTGCAGCAAAACGCCCGCCGGCAAAAGCTTGCGCCCCAAAAGGGGCCATATCATCCTTCAACATCAAACCGTATCGGGCAGCCTGATTGTCCCCAAATGGTCGGCCCCTAATCACCTGTGAAAAGGCTCTGGGATGGCAATGTGCCTCAAGAGTGACCGCTCAAAAGCGGGCCGTTCCGTGACAAAAATAGGGTGGGTGAAAACCGACCTTAGACATTAAAGTCTGCAAGCAACGAATGCTGCTTGATTTTTGAACTCCTCCCAACCCGGATCAGGCGTCGTCTTCCTCCATGACTCTCTCTAGGTGCTCAGCCAAGCCATCGCCATCATCATCGGGATCGGATTGCGCGGACAGCTCTGCATCAACGTCTGCTTTGCCCTTGTCAGCGCTCACGGCTCGCACCTCTTTCAGCGTCACCTTCTCGCTGGAAAGCATGTGTTCATCATGAGCACGCGTTCCTTTTTGCTTGACCGGCGTCATGTCCACGTCGGCGTCGCTCTCGACCTTTTGCTCGCTGATTGCCACCTTGTCTGCGCTGCCAGCGCTTGTGCCGGCCTGGGCCTTGGTCTTCCGGATCGCCACTTCGTCCGTTTCACCGTCCTCCTCACGCTTCTTCGAAGCTGCCTGAGCCTCTTGCGGATCACCGCCTCGTCCATGCTGCTGACCTTCTTTGAAGCTCGTCCGCGCTGCTGGCACTGCCCTCACGCTTCTTGGTCACCTTGGTGTTGCGGGGGATCGCCGCCTCGTCGTCCGCGCTGCTGGCACCATCCTCACTCTGAGCCTTGGCATTCCGAGGATCGCCGCCACCCGCGCTGTCCTCGCTTGCTTCTTTGAGCCTTGGCCTTCCGGGGGATCACCGCCGGACCACCTTGTCCGCGCTGTTTGCACCATCCTCACGCTTCTTTGAAGCTGCCTGAGCCCCTTATTTAAAGGGTTTTAAAGACAAAAACCTTCATTCAAGGACTTAAGGTATGCTCCCTTGTTTAAAGGGTTTTCCTCTTATTTAAGGTAGGTTGGGGGCAGCATGCCTTTGAAAGCCATAGAGCTGGCATCATGAAGAAATCATGCCCAGTTCCAGGGGCATAAGTCAGGTCCGAAGGCGCATAAGTTCTCCTGGTCGAGGAAAAGGCAGCAAAGCCTTTGAACTCTTGACAAGCTGAAGACAGCAACCTTGTTTTTGTCACGCTACAGCTGCGGTCGGCCAGTGGAGGCTGCAAATCTCTGAAAGAAGCCGAGCCCAACTGCCATAGGCCCCTCGTCGCTGACACCTACCTCCAAAGCTTTCATCGCGACATGTCCATGTTCGAGACGCACTGTTCTGATCTGGAACGCGAATTCCTAACACATGTGAAACTTGGGTTTGATGGGCCATCTTTTAATGCAGCTTTGAGTGGCCCACTGGGAAAGAGCTACATATTGCAAAGCAAGTTCATTGCATGCTTTTTGAAGGACAGAAGCATGAAATGCTCCTTCAGACCGGCAATTATAACATGTGATCAAGCGCTTGGCACACTTTTTTGCAGCCATGTGTTCTGGCTGAGCATCTGGAGAAAACGGTACCAAAGCTCTACATTCTCCTGCTTTGGATCTCAGCTTGGGGCTGGTTTTTCCCTTGAAGCATGGAAGGCTTCAAAGTGTTCAAGCGACTCTCTACATGGTTTGTAGCATAAAGAGTCTTCATGCTGGAGAGAAACACGCTTGCAAGCGTTGTCCTGAGACCCACCGATAATTTCCATGGCCAAGTCAAAGAAACTCCCTAGAAACACTTGGGAAATGCCAAGGTCGGCTGCATGCAGCCACCAAGTGCAGCTCCTCCTTCACTAGGTCACACCTGAAACAACAGCGACCCTGCCCCCTGCCAATTGAAAGACTTGTTTGTAGCAGCTCCAACCACCGCGAACTTGGACAATTAAAGCTGGGGGTAATGGATGCCCTGCCTTCTTGGCTCTGCCTGCCTCGGAGGCTTTGAATCGTGCCCCGTCATGCCGGCAGGAGGGATAGATACCCTGTATCAAACCTTGGAAAGACCATTTAGAACAGCTGCAAGTTCATTCCAAAAAAATCCTTGGGGAGAACGAACAGAGGCACTCTGACTCTAAGCTGAGAAGTATGCCCTGGTAGATTCAAGGAACCTACCTCAATGCTTTTGCTTCTATCATGATTAAAAGGTACGCCATCAACCCACAGTCCACAGGGTATTGAGTCCTTTGGAAGCCACCCCAGACAGTTCGAGGTTTTCTGGATGTGGGCCAGAGCCTTGACAGGTAAATTATCTTGTGTAAAGACATCACTCCCACAGGCTCCTTCTGTGGTATGCGGTGGCCAAAAGGCACCTTCATTCGCTTCTCCTCCAGGTTCCCGGACTCCTTACACATCATGTCAACTATGTCGGGTCTTGGCCAAACAGAGCCTTTTAGGAACTTTCGTCTTGTCTCGGTGGAGGTTGCCCAGATGTTTCCCAGAAGATTTAGGAGTCAAGATGTCTTGGACTCCTGTAGCTCCAGCTTCGCCTGCATGTACGGCAAGGCCTCTCAATCTGTTAGCACTAATGTCACTGCCCAGAAAGAGGTCAGCTATATCTGCTCTTAGCCTTTTTTCACGTGGTAGGCTCTCCAAAAGGCAACATGGCAGCCGGCTTGCACTGAAAGTTAAGACTGCTAGCCATGCACAAGTTGATGTTCAACCCTGCAAAGGAGACCAATCTCCTAAAGTAGCAGCGCAAGGAAGGACAAGATGCTCTTGATGTGAATTCAAGTGAGTATGAGGAGGGCCACCTCCTGTTTTTTCTCGTATTAG